GCTATGGGGCTGTTAAGTGATGACGTCACAGTTCCTTCGATACGCATAGCAACGATCCCACTGGGGACAAACAAAAGTAGCGTCGTCTCCACCGAACCAGTTGTCAGTGGCAACATATAGGAATCGTGTACATTTCTTCGTTTCTTCTTTGCTGTTTTCAGTGAGTGTTTTGTTTTCTCTTTGTCCTTGATCTCGACGGTGTTGTCGTGCTCATTACCTTACTGAGACGTCTCTTGTGACTGTAGCCAGTGTCACGGAGGATTTTATTGGCGTGACGAGGTAGATCGCCGAGATCGAGCGTGAAAAACGCTCTGCATTAGTAGCTCCTGTAGAATGTCTTCTGGGATGGCGTATCCATGGTCAACAAAGCCAAGGTGCAAGACAGCATAAGAGATCGTGTAAACGATGGGAACTCCAAAAGGTAAGCTCCTGAACAAGTGGACAGATATGTGTATTTACAAACTCTCTCTTCATCCATCGATTGCCGCTATGCATTGCATTTTGTCTGCACAGATAATCTGGACAAATAAATTATATTGTAACTGGAGAGTGCAATCGTGCTTGGGACCCATCCCAATGTCATCACATGGCTGTGGTGACTATTGTATACCTGTACCTGGGAGAGTTTTCCTCAACTGAGACGGAGTGTAGGTGGATGGATTATGAGAAATGCGAAGATGTGGAGTAAGTTGTGTCGAAGAAATGTGTAAGAAATAAAATTTACTTTACACTCAAACATACACTGTACATGTACATGTAACATCATGATACTGATGATTCCATCTTCATATCTCCGCAACAGGTACGCCATACGCACCAAACACATGGTGTGTGTGCACGCGCGCGCGTACATGCACACACTCTCACGCGCGCGCTTGCGTGCGCGCGTATATGCACACACTCTCATGCGTGGCCGAGTTGGCCGGATGAACAGACCACGCATTTGCACGAGGTGTCCGTTATGTCATTAGAGTGCTGTACTTTATGACTTTATTCCAAAATAGTATGTCTTGCTCCTGTGAAATGGAGTTTGTGTCTATGCTCAGCGGGTATCGGGCCACGACGCCACACTGCAGTCAGCGCTGGAATTAAAATAGCACTTCATGGATTATTTTAACTAATTTCCTTTGCGTTTACATGTACTTTGTTGAGCCCGTGGTTTCATTTCTGTGTTCTGTTATGATTGGCCTCTGGAAATAATCGGAGTGGATGTCATTTTTGTCATATGCGTGTGCCTTGTGCAACAGGTTCAAGGCTAGATGCACTTCACATTCGGCGTGCGATCTCGGCGTCTGGGACCTGATAACGTCTTGGTTGGATGGGTAATCAAGGACGATACTACTCGGCACACCAATGTACATGTCGATGTAATTTTTTACTCTTTCAGAGCTGCACTATTTACGGACGAATGTGTCTGTTAGAGAGGAAATAAATAGTATTCACAAACAAGTCCCACTTATTGTTTCTGTTCGTAAAAGGAAATTGCAATTTTTTGGTCATATTGTTCGTTCCGGCTGTTTGTCATTGACTGTTCTTCAGGGTTGTGTTGCTGGAGGTCGTTGCCGAAGCAGGCCCAGAATGTCATGGCTTGATAATATTATTTCATGGACTGCACTTGACGTGCAGTCCCTGCTCGCTGCTGCACGCGATCGATTTTTATGGCGCTCACTTGTTCATACTTGCTCTGTGACGCCCCGACGACCTTAGGCCCTTAGGGCTATGGGCTTGTGGTGATGACTATTTACGTCTTGATGCTTACTTCGGTGCTAGCGTGTTTCCCCCGGATTATTTCTATCATCATGCGTGTTCTTGGGCTGAGCGAGCACATGCATGAGTGTGCAGCTATAGCCCTGTGTATCTTTGGTGACACTTTGTTCTGCAACGCATGTACCTTGTAACAGTATGTGCTTGCACTGCTTTGTGTGGCCTTCGTATTTCAAGACTATTCAGTGCATTAGACCCAGGTTGGTTTGGTTGCCGGATGATCTCTTGTTGCGTCGCTCTGTGTTTTGTATTCATCAATTTTTGGGCTTGAGAATTGAGCTGGTGTGTGGTTCCCAATATCAAAACATCATGCTGGTGCTCTGTGTTTTGATTATCGACTGTCCGAGCAGTCGCGATTCATTACCAGAACGGTCAATACTGTAGTCTCTTGACGTGTTTGTCTTTTTGTGTTTTCGCCGGGGGAATTAGCGGTGACGTTGCACATAGAACGGCAGTGTTGCATCACTGGACGACCCTGCCTCTGACTTCATGTCCCCAGGATGTGGTGCAGATACACCAGACAGTCACTTCCTGTAAACACGCAAACAGCAAAAGAAGAGATCCCGCAAATCAGGAAAACCCATTGCGGAAAATATCGAGTAGATCATACACCATTCAATAATCTGGAGTAATTACAGTGAGACAAACACTTCACTGCTCTCTCTCTCTCTCTCTCCATCCTTCCAAAATACCCTGTAACAATTTCCTAGAATTATTTTATTTTAATATATTCTCAGGACATCATTCTGAACATAATAACTTCTTCCATGGGTCTTCAATCACCACGGAGGGCGAGAATATATCTAAGTCATGCAGTTTACGGGAGGTGCGAGCTGTCATGGATATAGAGGCTGATATTATTGTGCCAGCGTGAGGGCAGAGACAGAAAGAAGACACTGATTTCTTTAACAACTCACCTACATAATAATTATTATAATCGAATCCACAGGGAGCGCTCGTACTTTGATCCATCAGGACGGGAAGAATCTTCAAAGGACTCTCAAACACGGAGTTTTACAGTGGGCAGCCAATTTCACAGCCATTATGAAGGCCCTCGACGACTACAGGAGATTTGTAGAGGAAAGAACAAGGAGTAAAGAGCGACAACAATCGCTTGAAGAAAAAGCAAAGAAAAACTGCTCTCTCTCCAGTCATTTAGATGCTGTTGCCTTTGACAACTGGTTCCATCCAGAGGACGCGACTTTTGTTTGTCCCCAGTGCTCTCCGTTTTTTTTTTTTTTTTTGTTTTTTTTTTTTTTTGTTTTTTTTTTTTTTCACGGCCAAAGTTTATAATACCAGAAAAATAATAATATGTAGCGCAAAATAAAGAGAAGGAAAATAATAACCGGTCAAGCGCTAAATACAAACAGAAGAAAAAGAAATCATAAGCCAATACGCGCTAAACTGCGCTTAAATTATAATGAAGGGAGAAAAACTGGAATCCGCGGAAATTATAACATACAAAATGATACAGAGAAAAGGGGAAACAGACAGGTTGTCTACAGATGACACTCGGAGACAGCAAGTGTGGCAGAATATGCATGAGGGTCATACCTGCTCGACTTGTGGCGATGCCCACGAAGGCATGCCACGGCCGCCTTCACGAGAGCAAAGGACAGCTGGGCTCTGATCAAAGCCATTGCCACAGAGAAAGGCTCACCATTCTTCTCAGACTTGATGCCTGCAATGCGGCCAAAGAGAGTGCTCTCCGTTGCTATGCGTATCGAAGGGGCCGTGACGTCACACTTAACAGCCCCATAGTATAGGAATCAATGTAATGTAGTACAGCATGAATGTGTGCAACATGTATGCAGGTCATGCCGTACCGGTCTGCAGGCAGGGTTGTCTAGTACTAGTCCTACTTCAAAGTATTAATTAAAGTGGTTGCTGGGAGAAGCACTTAGGAGTAACCGGTGGGACAAGAGGTGATTTACAGTGTCGCGTGCTAGCATGAATACATGTACTACTAGTACTAGTCATGTGTAAACTGTAAAGCAGGGATACATGTACTACACTAGGTACTAGGTTACAGGTAGGTAAAAATCCGCATTCGTTTTGGGTCATGACGTCAGTCAGTGCACGACTGCACGGTAGGCCTTTCCGGATTATGTGTTTGCATATTTTTGCATTTTGGGGGTCAAAATGCATTTTGTCCATTTTGACCCACTTTGCGCCAGGGAGTCGTAAAATACCGGTATTTTACGACTCCCTGCAAGCGATAGGTACTTCCAAGAGTACATAACCCCCCGGGGGGGGGGGGGGGTTATGTACTCTTGGTACTTCACGATCACCATGAATGATCACCATGGTGCCAAATGTCACGCGACTAGCTGTCGCCATTTTCAACGGTGGCATTTTTTGTGCTTTTGGGGTAAATTTTTGCATTTTCTTTAGAAAAAAATTTGATTTATAGGGGTTTTTCAAAACACTTTCCATTTCCATTTTAGACCAAGAAAAAACGCATAATCCGGAAAAGCCTACTGCACGGCCATGCATGGATGGATTGGTGTCAGTGACTCACCGTAAAAAAAAAGATAATCATGCACTGAGTCTACGGGCATGTTCGATTGGTAGGATCGGGATCCCGATCCACCGGATCCAGTGGATTCGCACCCTTTCGATTGGTCGGATCCGGATCCGGATCCTTCGGATTTGGATCCGGTCAACCCTCCTCGGGGAGCAGGGTTGACCGGATCCAACGGATCCAAATGTGACCTTTGTGCGTATATGGCTGGTAAAAATCATTTTTGTACACATTGTAGTACGCACGCGTGGATGGAGATAGAGCTTGTTGACTTTTTGTACGACGCACGGGATGAGTACGACGTTCACCCTTTTGGGTGCCTTGTGAGCGCCATTTTCAACATGGCAACAGTCAAGGTCCAAAATAAAGTGTTCAGTTGAATCTGAAGGATCCGAGGGATCTGAGATCTGGATCCCGATCCCGATCCTTACCAATCGAACATGCCCTACATATGTACAATCAGTCATACAGACTACATAATTATAGTCGTGATGTGGTGACCATGGTGACAGGGATCGGGACTCGGGAGTCGTCATATGACGACTCCCTGGTGGTGACTGACTCATCTCAGCTCAGTACGATCAGTGTGCACAAAGGGAAACTCCCTTGAGCAGACGCCATCTGAGTTCGTCATGACGACTCTGTGTTTGGCCAATGAGCGAGAACAATAGGGGTGGCGGTGCATTTGAACGTCTCAAATATCAGGTGAAGGTGATGAAGAAAAGAAGTCAGACCGATCAAGTGGCTTTATGGGTGTCCAAGCGGGAGGACAGATTTCATCTTTGTTTTTGTTTTCCTACGAAATTCCTCCTGCTGGTCATCTCAAAGTCTCTTTTCGGTTTCAATGGCTCCTTCAATGAGGTGCACTTGCGCCTAGCCTAACTTTGACCAAACCGCCTCAATCCATATCCGATTTCTTCGAAGCAGCGGCCAAAACTCAATTGCAATGGAGTTGGAAGAGCTTCAAGAAAAGCTCCACTTATCTGCTCAAGTTGGTAAAGAACTACTGGAGAGAAATACTGAGTTAGTTAGGCAAAATGAAGAACAGCTACAAGAATTTTCTGCTCGTTCTGAGGTTGGTGCCAGACTTTTTCATGCACCCATGCCCGTCAAAATTGAAAGTGCAACGATCTGTTTATCCTTTCTGCTATTGATCAATATTCTACTTCCAGGAATTAGAGCAACAAAACCATCAGCTTCGCACTGAGGTTCGCCTTCTGAAAATCAGGGAGAGGGAAGCCCAAGATGAACTTCGCGAGGAGCTGGAGCGGAATCGCCAGGCTCAAGATAAAACAGATGCTGAACGGCTGCTAACTGCTCGTTCACTGGATGACTTGAAGCAAGTCATTGAGCATCTCCATTCTCAATTGGAGCAGAAGTCACTACTTCTTGAGCAGCAGTCTGAGGACTATGCTAGACAGGTATGCTAGATAGGACATCAACTATGGCCTAAATTTAGTATTGCTAGGGCCATCAATCCTCAACTTGGCTCAAGCTTATGAATTTATCTAGGGAATATATTCGTTTTTTTAGTGGTGGTGGGTGCTGCTCGTCTTTGTTAGTGAAAGGTGTATATCAATAATTTCTACTCAATTACTGAACAGCTACAGTAAAACCTGTAACTAAAGACCACCGTGACTAGCGACCAGCCTAGTCCTACAGACCACTTCACCAGGCACGGACGGTCTCACATTCATTATGGTTGTGCGGTACAAACTTCTAACTAAGGACCACCTGCCACTAAAGACCGCTTTCTCTGGCCCCAAGGGGTGGTCGTTAGTCACAGGTTTTACTGTAACTGTTTTGACCTCAGCGGAGCTCAGAGTGACCGGCCGAACCGGTCGCAATAAAATCTAGTAATGAACAACAAAGAATCTTTAAACCAGCTCAACGTATCAAAATGCTTTATCAAACTGTAATAAATACAGCGAGCTTTACACGAGTATCAGTGATCTCTAGATAAGGGCATGCACCGTGCAAGTATTTACATGCCAGTAAAACCCGTCATGAATATACCTGCGTTTGCGCCTTTGCGGCTGTGTCCATGCGTACCTGGTGCAGCCCTTTAGCACGACGCTACCTGAGCACGCCCCACGTCAACACCTGTAAAAGTCGCATTTTCCCATGAAAGTACTAGCTGCTCAAGGATCGATAACTTTACCTTCCCTTGGACGAATTCCACGATCTTGAGCTTCCTGGAAAGGTCTTGAGACGAGGGACAAACTGGTGTCAAACCCAGCTCGGAGCGAAACCAAAACCCTGTGCTACAGTCTGGCAAACTTCATCCACGCGCTCGACAGACTTGAGCACGGCCAAGACTAACCGAGCTCAAATATTCAGCTGCCATTTCGGCCTCCTTGCTCGTGTTGAGCTCAAATTTTTTGTGAGGACTCATGGGATCCACTACCATCATTTGAATCTTGTTTCCATGGCAGCAGGTAGCGCAAAAATGATCCACGATGTAAAATACGCGTTCTGCAGACTGCGCAAAAAATCGAGTTGAAATTTGCCGTGTCGAGTCGCATATCTCAACAACCGGTAGTCGCATCGCTTCGGCGATTGTCTCTATCGCCAGCTGAGAGTTTTCTCTTGCAGATACATGTTTCGATTGTGAGAATCGACCAAGTATTGAGTGAGTTACGATAGTTTGAACAAGTCACTATTGACTCAACACAGACCCCAGGACTATGAGATGCAGGTTCACTGTACAGTGTACAGCGCGCGTCGTACTAGTATGACGGCCGTGGGGCATGCAACTCATGTGCGTCGTACTAGTACGACGCTCGCGCTAAAGGGGTTAAAACCCGGTTCAAGTATGCGTGTGCCTGGCCGCTATGACGGAGTAAACATGCCAGTAATCAAAACAAACTCAGAGCGAACGGAGGTAATTGACGCCCTCGTGCAACTTCATGCTCTTTTATCCAGTCTACACTGGAATGTGCTAGCAATGCTTATGTGCACAGTCTGCGACAACATGAGTATGATTCTCTCACCCGCATCTCGCCGTTCATTACGTACAGTAAAACCTGGTGTAAGCGTCCGTTTTTCCATACACGGGCAGTACTACACAGAAACTGCACCGGATACAGAGACCACCTGCCCTGCGCGATCAGCGACCGACTGTTAGTGTACCAGGTGCCATATTGGACCTGCACACATTGACCAAAAATAACCAAAAGTGCCATATTGGCTGACAGGGTTGAAGAGCGCTCTGAAGCAAATGCATGCAGTCCACAGAAGTGACAAGTGGCCAAGGCGACAGTATAGAATGCGCTGCATGCGACCCAGTGAGGTGTGCTTTGCCTGCACGAACGTATTCTATGCTCCGCACCTGTCAATATGAGTACATGGAAGTACAAACCTGCACAAGTATGTATCCGACATGCCACAAGTGTATGGGACTTGGTTCTAAAGACCACCTGGCTTTAACTACCACTTTTCCTTGCACCGTGGGGTGGTCGCTTAATCTTTGGCTACCGCTCACCGCAGATGTTAAAAGTGTATTCTGTCTCGAAACATGCCGCCTCTTCTGCCTTCGTGCCAATTCTGAGGCACGTAGCGCACCTGCACAAGGTCTCAAGTCTTTCTTGGACTTGTACTACCTCTGACCGCTGGAACTCAGTTCCGGCATCGGTCCGCCTTGCTGCTTCACCAAGTCAATTTCGTATTGCATTCCTAGATTGGCTAGGGTACCCCGTATGGAGACCATAGGTCTGTGGGGACTGCCCTAGAGAAATATGAATAAATAATATTAATAAATCCTGATTGGAATTTTTTATTTTCATTGCTATCAGGTTCGGCCTCATTTCCTCTGTGCTGCACTGATGAGTTCACAAAGAACGAAACAGCATGCCGTCCGCAGATTGAGTAATAATAAATCCATATAATTATGCAGCATATAGTGTACAGCACATATTCTACATAACATAGTGCTGAAAAGTTTGAGGGAGTTGGAAAGAGAGGGTGGGGCATGTATAATGCATTTGCATTTTCCTTTCAAATGGATTCAATTTCATTCAAATATCCCTTCTTGGAGGTGAGAAATCCATGTCAAATTTATATTTGTAAAGATTATACAAGAGAGATTGGAAGCTGTGTTGCTACTCTGAGTTTCACGATTACTACGATCATCAGGCAACCATTAAAGATACTCAATCGGCGGACAGAGCTGTTTCGTCCTTTGTGGACTCATCAGTGCAGCACAGAGAAAATGAGGCCGAACCTGATAGCAATGAATTTTTTTCCAAAGCCAGATTTAAACCAGGCCCGAACATACCTTGCCAGCGTGCTCAAACTGACAAGTCACTGTGCTCTGCATAACGCAAACAGCACAGGCACTATCACACACGAGAATGTTCAACTGCTACAAGAGCAGGAGCGAAATACTCAATATGCGGACAGAACTGTTTCGTCCTTTGTGGGCTCATCAGCGCAGCACAAAGAAAATGAGGCCAAACCTGATAGCAATGAAAAATAAATTTTCCAATTTGTAAAGATATCAATCCTGATTGGTTTACAGTATTATTACTCGGTTCTATTTTATTATATTGTTCTTTAAACAAACCGCGGGGAGACAACACTCTTTTATAGAATCGCAACAAAGAAAAGTTAATGAAAAGGCGACGAGGAGACAATAACTTTATTAATGCGATTAATAGTATAAGTGAAGCGGACATTACAAAATGATGAATGAGAATACATGTATCTAAAATGGTTGTTCCTAATCGATTTTCTTGAGACTATCATCAGGGAAAAATCGTCTCACAATAGAGGCTATACGGAAAAACAAACTACTTATAGGTTATAGGATAGTGGGGAGTATACAAGGTTAGGTGTGAAGAAAAAAAAACTAAAGTGGGAGAGAAGACGAAAGAAATTAGAAGAAAAGATGTGAGAGTGTTCCGACGGTGTGAGCTACTACAAAAGGTGAGTGAAATGAAGGCGTGGAAGCAGGTGAATGTGATAGAGTGAGGAAGTGTGAGGTGTAGGTGTATGCGAATGAATACGTGTGTGTATGCTAGGTGAAGAGTCTCAATTTTGTGACATTTTCTTTCTGAATGCATAGATTAGGATTGTGTTTGCGGATGAAAACAGCTTCTAATACCTTAAGTTCACGAAACCTACGAGCACGGCACAAAACAGTGAAGCATGAATCGTCGAGACTCTTCACCTAGCATACACACACGTATTCATTCGCATACACCTACACCTCACACTTCCTCACTCTATCACATTCACCTGCTTCCACGCCTTCATTTCACTCACCTTTTGTAGTAGCTCACACCGTCGGAACACTCTCACATCTTTTCTTCTAATTTCTTTCGTCTTCTCTCCCACTTTAGTTTTTTTTTCTTCACACCTCACCTTGTATACTCCCCACTATCCTATAACCTATAAGTAGTTTGTTTTTCCGTATAGCCTCTATTGTGAGACGATTTTTCCCTGATGATAGTCTCAAGAAAATCGATTAGGAACAACCATTTTAGATACATGTATTCTCATTCATCATTTTGTAATGTCCGCTTCACTTATACTATTAATCGCATTAATAAAGAGAAGTTAAATAGACACGTTGCTACTTTTTTTTAATGGTATCAGTCGTTGGAGACAATGTGCAGCTTCGAACAAGTGTTCATACAACACTCATCAGGAACTATCGTTTTACTAATGGACAAAGCAACGCAAATGAACTTTTATAGAACAACCAAAGAGAAAGTAGCACCTCGTGACAGCACTGAACGCTACACATTTGATTTGTAACAATGAAAGTGAGAAATGCATATCAAATGGGTACTAACAAAATACCAATCCCACCAGGACTCGAACCTGGAACCTTGCTTGTCATGAGCAACTAAGAAAAAATCATGGATAATAATAATAGCTCTCTGGATGTCACTACAGGCGGGGCAAGTTTGCGAGCTGCAGGAGCTCCTCTCAAGCTATTCACGGTCGGATGCTGAAGCCGACAATCAACTTGCGGAGATGCAAGCAGCTCTTACCACGGAACAATGCCAGCGGATTGAACTTGCTGCTCACCTCAATGATGCTCAGAACCAGATTCAACGGCTTGAGCTTGACAAATCGCACTTAACTAAGGACATCTCGCTGCTAAAGGACAGCTCGGGAGAGCAGACAAAGCAAGTAGCACAGTGGAGTCAAGCGCTGGAGGTAATTGCTACATATTAACACACACACACACACACACACACATACACACACACACATTTCGTATTGAATCTCGATCCATACGTGTAAATGCACTGATAGTTGAGCAAACGAACCACGCAACAGGAGCACAACTTGATACGAATGAATATTGGTACTTTACGACAAATCCATGTATTCTGAATTCAATTAGTACCGGTAGTCAGTAGTCCATCATCTTCTGTTGGGTGCTTCTACTGTTGTACAACAAGAGTCCTATAGCAGAATGCATGCTGGTATGCCATCACGTGACAGGCAATCTCTTGTCCAATCTAATCATTGAATAGGCAGTGGACAGTCAGTGGGGGCATATGCTTACACGTATATTGCTGTGCGCGTATAACTTATTGTTGACGTAATGTTGAGACATTACGTTCTTTGCCGGCTTGCTAACTCACTGCTAACCTTGGGGAAACGTTTGATACTGTTCTCTCTCTCTCTCTCTCTGATCAAGCGCTGGTGCCTCTCTACTGTTTTATAGAACTCCCGGGAGGAGATTGCAACCCTACGCAGTCAGCTGGATCTTCTTCAATCTGCTCGCGATAACAACAGTCATGCCGTTAGCGGAAACTCGATATTTGGTGAGGTAGGCATTTGTTTGGTCTGCAGATCCAACTCATACAGCCAGGATTGCACCTACAATACATGTTCAGCAGGGTACTAGGACATCATTCTGGGACACTATCGAAATTCATTTTTCTGGCCCGTTGTGCTCAATGTCTGTCGTGCAGAGTATTTCACACACCAAAGAGCGCACACTGCAATACAGTGATAGATTGGCGAGGCAAGCTTCCTTGAGTAGAATTCAAAGCTGCTAGCCACGCATGAAATTAACCTTTGGCAGGATTACGGTGGCGTGTTATTGCCGGAGTCTCTGTCAAAGTGATGATGTATAGAACTGCAAATATCACATCCAATCCCCAAGCAGACATGGGGTGGTGAACAAGGCTACCAGCCACCATATAGGGAATACAGGGAAATTTGCCAGAAGTACGAAGGGGTCACAGAAGTGCTGGGGACCTACAATAGGGTTAAAGGTTGCCCTAAATAAATCTAGTGTGTTGCAAAAATGGTGCAGTCGTGGCAAACACTACTGTACATGCCCTGTAATGTCTCCAGCGGTGGGTTCACACGTACTGTAAAAGCAGAAATTTTCGGTGGTGTAATATTTTCGGTATTCGCCAAAATCGGCGGTTCGGTAGCGGGAAATTTTCGGTAAAACCCGTTCTCCAGGTAGGTGTACTAGTACTACATGTATACAGTATCGATTGTACCGAAAATTTCGGTGCGTTTTATTTTCGGTAAAAATTGTCGGCACCGAAGTTACCGAAAATAAAACACCACCGAAAATTTCTGCTTTTACAGTAGTAGAAATGAGGCTGAATAGGACAGTGAGTTTCAGAGGTGTTCATCAACTTTCATTACTTCCTCCGCGTCATCGAAATTGTCGCAGTTTGACTAGTGACTTGTCACTTGATACTGATAACTCCATAAGCAAAGCCATTCAAAACTTATTACACAGTATGATAGTCTGAAGACTAGAGTAACGTTCCAGGACAGTTGGACTGAGAGTTTTCATGCAGAGATGAAGTCCTCGTCGTCGCTGATGTCAATGGACGCAAAAATATCGTTCCGAAATATTTCAAGGAAGGTTGAAAGTTGGTCGCGTCTCATCTCAAACGCTTTGACTTTATCCACAGGACAAGAGCTGCTATGCTTGTCGTCTGCTGGCTCTGGATGATTTCTACTTCACCACCAACGAAGCCTAGTAAGAAAACACGATCGTTACGAGGTCGGTTGATTACCGTCGGCGGAATCACCTCGATCTTGAAATGAACTTTTTTTAGCCGTGGCATGCCCATTTATTTTAGCTGTTTGGTCACAGCTCATCAGCCTCATGCAGGTATGTGTACTATCACGTCCAGTGCGCCCTCTTTTTGAGCATCACTGATACCATGGTACGGCACCTGCGCGTGCATCACTAGCACTACGTGTAGAGTCTACACGGCTCTTGCAGGTTCCATCATGTACTGAGTGTCTCAGCCAGAGCGACAAATTTTATCGCTGTTGCAGGCATTTAGTTTGCTGACCCCTCGATGTTTCTCCAAGCGCTGCCACTTGTTCCAAGAAGTCATTCTCACCCCAGCTAAGGTAAAACAGTGATGAGGCCTGAGTGAATGGCCATAAGCACGAGAAATGTGCAGGCTGTAACGCCTGACTGATCTCCGCGAGTCGAAATTACAGTCGCAGCGACATCAGCGAAGAAATTGCGTCTAGTTCAAAAATTCCAGCTTCCAATAACAGAAAATAGAACTTTGCCGTCACCCTATACTGATGATTATCGCCTATGTTCGATTCCTTGCCTCTGGTACGAGTGCTGGTGAGTAAATACCCCGTTTTATATCAAAAGTCAAACTGCGACAATTTCGATGACGCGGAGGAAGTACTTCTTTTACAAGCAAAACTGACTGGCTGACGTCTTGGCCAGACCAAACATTTGCCAGAACAAAACGGACAAATAATTTGGTTGTATCCAGAAAGATAAGCACGAGAGATTCAAATAAATTCAAATAACAGCAGCCACGTGGTGCGTACGTCGCATCACATGGAAAAGGCATGCATGGTCAAAGTATATCGCAGTGGCGTGCAAGGCACAGCAAGTAAATAAACTTATTAGTATGTAACTTGCGATATACGGAATGCATCACGGCGTCACAATCAGTGTGCCTTATCGGAAGACCAGGCAGGCACAGTGGGTTGGTCAAGGACCATGATTGAGATACGAGAGGTACCTTGTTCAAGTCCTGCCTGGGAGCGGTTTTTCCAGCCGTGCTGCTACCCACAGTCAACTGGGAACTTGTGGCCAGGCACAAGGGGTACATGGATGCAGCTAATGGGGTCGTTTTCGGCACTTGTGCCAGTGGTTGTGAGACTTATCCACTCACCCCACCGTTAGGCGCTGCATCTGCCGCTAGGATTTATCGGGTGTTAGCGGCCGTCGTGAGTTCCCTTCGGGAACGGACACGATAATTTACTTTTTTATCGGAAGACGTTCTGAACATCCTCCCCTACCTTGATTAAACCAGATTTAATCAAGTACACAACAAATTAAACGATAGAGAAATGGACCGAACAGAAAGCAGTGGGGAGATATGACTATAAAATATTGTAGTGAATAAGACACATTGGTACCAATGTGGCTGAAACGAGACGACATACGCATGTGAGCTTGACAGCCATAAAATATCCTAATGGACAAATTTGACTGAAATACTTAGAGAAAGAAAGAAAGGATTGACGAATACAGAGGAATGTTATACAGCAAAAATGTGCCACTCAGACACAGAGTCAATCTGCGGCAATCTTGCACAACTGTGTGATGGGGCGGACAAGTGAAGTGTCACCGACCTTCACTCGCACCACTCTGACCCGCCCATCGACTCCGGGGAACAGCTGCTCTACCCGGCCGAGCCTCCACTGGCCTCGTGGTGCAGCAGCGTAGCCGAACAACGCAACATCATCGATGGCGAGATCGGGCTGCGGCTGCTGCCATTTCGCTCGCGGGTGAAGCAGGGGGAGCATTTCGGTCATCCAGTGCTTCCACACCTGCAACACCAGGCTCTGGATGACCCGCCAGTGCTGTCGATGGCCTTGCTCCACAGTGTCCATTCCTCTGGGAACAAATGACTCGCCCTGGTGTCCATGCAGGGAATGGTTGGGCGTAAGTGGCAGCAGATCCCTCGTGTCGGCCGACTAGTATGTCAGTGGCCTTGAGTTGAGTAATGCCTCTGCACCAGTCATTGCGGTCATGAGCTCCTCGTCGTTGACTTCCGTGCCTGACAGGATAGCATAGATGGCACGCTTTGCTGATTTGACGAGCGCCTCATGGACGCCACCGGAGTGAGGAGCAACGGGGGGATTGAAGGACCACCTAATTCCCTTGTCCGCTAATCGTTGGTTCACGCCTTCATTCATCGCGGCCACTAGCCTCCGCAGTTCTTTTGCAGCGCCTACGAAGTTGGTGCCATTGTCTGTGGGGACTGAATTACAGTTGAATTGAAATTGAAATACTGGTTAGAATGTTGACTTAGTTTGAGCATTAGGGACCATCCGTAAATATAGATATTTATTTAGAAACGAAAACTAGTCGTTTAGGGGAGAGGGGGTTGAGCGCCTGTTCGTTTATCGAAAAATATCGATGTACATTTTGCATGCGTGAGCATGTCCAGAAAAAAAAGATCAAAAATATCGATACTATGTACCATTAATTTTGTATGTGTTCGTTTCTCAGGGAGGGGGGTTGGAGAGAAACGACTAGTTTTCGTTTCTAAATAAATATCGGTATTTACGGAAGGCCCCTTATTCATTATATTTTGAATCATTCGTTTGAGCATTAGTTTGAGGGACTGAACTACAGTTGAATTGAAATTGAAATACTGGTTAGAATGGCGGCTTACTCCTCGCATTGGCTTCAGGGAAGTAGGCAGTAATGGTTCAGCCAATAACCTGCTGGTTGGGTTGGACCATCGTTTTGAAGCCAAGCAGATAGCTAAGATTCTACCTGTGCAGAACATCGTGCTCTGCGCCTGGTTGACGATTGACTGGGCAGAAACCCTGCCCACTTCCCTGGGCTTGTGCAGAATTACGCTCCTTGTCTATTATGCATGTTGCGGTATCTGTGCTGCGTAGAATTGTGGCACATCTTCCTAGCCTCTGCAAATTCCGTACCCCTTGTTCTTTGTTGGCAGAATACTTGTGGCTGCGACCTGTGTACAGATCTTTGGCAAATTTGCATTGTTCTTCTGGTTTTCCTCTTTGTCCTTCACATCAGTTGGAGGATGAGCGGCAGAAGTATGAAGCGGAGGCCGCAACTCTTCGTGTCAAGTATCGCTCACTTGAAAAGCAGCATGCTAGCCAGCGCCAACAGTTTCGGCAACTCAAGGTAGTGATTGTTTCTCTTCGCTTCGTAATATCCATTTGGAAAGTATGTTTTGTTCTGGGTCTTGTTTGAAATTTGGTATTGGAACTGGTGTCGTTGATGACATCTCAGCTTGCGAGGCTTCAGCATCTTAGTCTATAAGTTTTCAATGCATGCTTGAAAGTTGAAAGCATGAATTGATCCGGTATCCGCTAGCTGAATACTTACAACCCATGCACTCATCTTCCACTCTTTAGTGTTCCACCCTCTTCATCTTGACTGAGCTACATCTGCTTGTTGTTTACCTGAGTTGAAAGTAGACATGCTACAGTACAGCCAAAGGCCAACTGCAGATCACCTTAGGGTCTAGGATTATGCAAGATCATTTCCATACTTTTCCTCTGTTTTCTTTTTCCTCTGTTTTCTTTTCCCCCTGTTTTCTTTTTCCCCTGTTTTCTTTTTCCCCTGTATCAGGGTCAGTTACATGCGCTGTTTCAAGTGTCGCGCAGCCGTGCTGATCAGGATGAGTTGCAGCGCTTGAAACGCAAAGTTGCCGAATCGTCGTCTGTCGTGCAGACTCTGAGAGCGCGCATTGCTCAGCTTGAAGATGTTCAGGTGGGCTAAGGGTGTGCTGCACCTGTGTACTTAGCTTTTCTTCTGCTTCGCTTTTACTGTGATGCATTTGTATGCGCACGTGCGTGTGTACTTGTCTTGTGTTCACCTATAAGTCGTGTGTAATCAAGAGTACATGAAACTCAGAGTGTGCAGCTTCTGACTTTTCTGCCCGGGTGTCTGTCACGGCGAAATGCCACGATTACATAATATTTGGAGCAGATCTGAGGCGGGAAGTGGCGTAGTGCCTACAACTGAGCTGCAGTTGTGCAGAAAGGGACCTGCTTGGGTCCTGCTTGTACACACTACATCACTAAAATGATGTAATCACGGAATTTCGCCATGACAGCAACCCATAAGAGCTGCACACTCTTGGTGCAATTGATAGAGTCTGCAGATGTCTTGCACTACTGTTGTTGTTGCCATGGCTACAGTATACCTGCCGCTGAATGATGTAATGAAGGCAGCTCGCCGCACATCTGGTCCATAGAAAAGAGCGTTGCATACTCTTGTTTATGGACTCTTGCCTTCGTGACTAGTGTTTCACACAAAAAGGGAGTGAAGCAGTTGTACCTCGAATTACTGATTCATAGAACAGGTTCGTTGTTTTTGTTTGTTACGTGCAGGGGACAAACGAGTCTGCAGAACATCTGCGTCAGTTGAGGTCGTCTTTCCAGAGAACTGTTACCGAGGCAGGGGACACGGTCACCAGTGATTTGTATGTAGAATTTCTTCAGCGAGAGTTGGAACTAGTGCGGTGAGTTGGTTCCAGGGACTTGCCTGAACTATCGCCATGTATGTGTTTTTGTTTCTGTTGTTTTAGAGCTGAGAGGAATAGTTGACCGATTTGAATATTCAGAATATTCCTGAAATCACATGACAGGCTATTCACACTACGTGATCATGTATCCACGTTCGTTTTCTCGGTTTGAGTACACTGCAGCTTCTCAGCCTTCTCCTGGAATTGCTGTCACCTTTCTTCCAGTGCCTCCTCATTCTGTCTCCTCCTCTCTTCCATGTCTTCCTCCACGCGCCTCCTTTCTGCATCTCGCCTCTCTTCGTGTTCCATCCCCCTGGCGTTTCCAGTGCGGAGACCAGACCATCAGCACTTTCGCGGCTGCGAGTTCGTGGACACTTCCGTGCGACTGTGGTCAAGTGGGTTGCGACGGGCTCTAGGGCCGGAGTAGAGACTGGCTCTGGCGTGGATGGGTGCTCAGGTGGCGGGGTGGTAGAGTGGGAGTTGGGTGAGGACATGTCCGTGCTCACCGATGCTGGCCGAGTGCCAGCCTCACCAAAAACCTCCCCATCACTATCATCGCCCATGCTTGACTCCATAGCCGGCGGCAAGATACACTCGTCCAACTGGGTGTTGCTGGTCAACAGCATGGTTCGATGGCTGGTCAACAGCATGGTTTGACCCAGCTGTGCAGATGTTGGTGTATCTGAAATCAATGTACATGTACCTGCAGCAGTTGCACCACCAGTCAGGGAAGGTTCAGTTGGTGGCACTCTCATTGATGCTAGTGTATTGGTGGTGTTGGGGATTGCGGAGATGCTGCTGCTGTTTGGTTCAGTGTTGCTGTGGGATAGTTCGACGATGTTGTAGGACGGTGCGGCGGTGTTGCGGGACGGTGCGGCGGTGTTGCCGTAGGATGGTGTGGTTGTATTGCTAGAGGTTGGTGTCGTGCCTGGATCTTGACTAACACTTCCCTGGCTCTGAGTCAGACTATCAAGACATTCTCCAGGGCCCCACTGAGGATGCCGGAAAAACAAGTTATGGTACAGCTCAAAATTGGGCCATGCATATACTGCTGCCTGCACGTCAAAGTGGCTGGCATCCAGACTTGTTCCTACAAGCACAAATTATTGTAAACACAAGACAGTCCACGTTCAAGCCACTGAATGCAAAATCATCTCAGGCAGAGGAAATAATAACCTGCAGGAGTATTTCAGTTTTTGAGGGAGAAATAATGGGGAAAGTCAGTAGGATTATTTGTCAACATTTCTACTTGAACATCATACCTCTGGCCTGGCAATTTTCAAGGGGGTGTTTGATGGGAAAACTCCGGAATTGCATTGAGTATGAACCCACCTGTTGCAGTTGGTAGACGATGGGCCTTGTACAGCTCTCGTCCCTTTTCTTGAGGGAGTAAACCTTGTTGTGTACTTCTTTCATGGAGAAGCGTTTCATGTAGTTACTCAGCAGGTGGGTAGCCTTTTGCTCCTTCGCATTTCTGGTCGTCATGAGTTTATCAGTTAATTTCAACAAGTCGCAATAAATTTCGATGAGCATACGCTCAGACTCGGGACTGAAAGTTCGGTTGGACATGGTTGTCGGTCGAAAAGAAAACAGAAAAAAACACAACCACGTGTTGACTGTTGACTGACACTGGTGCCAAAACGTTGAATTGCAACTGAGAAAACGTACAGCCAGGGATGTCGAGGCCGTGGGACAGTTTGCGGGCTCACGTTTCGAGCCTCCCGCCCAATCCATGGTTTCCATGGCCGCCTACCGAGAAACCGTGAAAACATGACTTCTGGATCGTGAATGGCCTCTAAATAAATAGGCGGCATGAAGACAATAATTTCAAAATGGCAATAAATAGGATAAATTCCGCTTTATGAAAATCGATTTTGGAAAACCTTCATGACTTCGTTGATGTGTGGTGATGACGGCGGGATTTATTGCTATTTTAATATTGCTATGTATTCGATATTTCTGAAGACTGTATTATTGTACCACAAGGAGCGTAACGATTCCACAAAAGGCGATCGTTCAAAGCAGGTAACACCAAAGAGCAAACTAAACTCAAAACCAAAACAACAACTGCACCAGCAAGCTCTTTCCTTGCACTAACTACAAATACATCAAAAACCAAGCAGCAAAATGCAAATCCGCACGCATGTTTACCGGAACTGAACTTCGGCAGCGCAGCTGATCATTGCGGCTGCACGGGACGACCTTCCCGCCACAGTAGGGCAAAGAACTATGTATGGAACCAGCAATGAATGCATGCAGCACACCAGCAACCTGTCCCTACGCAGACGTCTAGTCTAGCGCGTGCAAGGATGAACAGCATGAGAAACATGATATGACACATGACTCCCATGGTGCATGTAATGTATACAATATGCTATTTATTGCTTTTTTGAAATCACATGAAGTTACCTTTCTTATATCAATTGTGCGGAAATGGTGTAAGTTTTGAGTGGGCTTGTCTCCTTTTATATTTTATCACCGGAAGGCAGGCAAATGATACCATTGTCCTATCTGCATGTCTTTCTTGAGACCCACCAAGTGATGCCGGTTTACAGTTATAATGGTTATCACGAGGTATCCGCAGATATAGCACGGTGTAGTTGTTGGAGACATCGGGCACATTCCCATGGTTGCTTTGACCTGTCCTGTTGCTTGATGCACACCACACTCGTCGTCTTATTGTGTCCCTGTTCTCTCTTTTGTGCCGTGCTTGTGTTGCAACCCGTGTGCGCACGCGCGCGTGTGTATATAACAGGCTTCGCGAGAAGGAGACCCGCAACGAGTTGGACACGAGTCGCATACAGCTGATAGCTGAGGGTGATAAGTTGCATCAGGCTGAGAGTCAGATTCACCAGTTAGAGGTGGAACTGAGCAAGGCACGCAGCGACAGTGTGCAAGCTAGACTCAAGCTTGATGAACTAGCACAGCAGCAACGGAAAAACCAACAGGATCAGCACCAGAAATCGCAGTCACAGGAGAGACAAGTGCAAACACAACCTCAGGGAGCCCAAGTGGCGGCGTTGATGCAGGCTCAGCCTCAGGGACAGCCCAAGCAGTCCAGGTCGCGTAGCATTGGTAACCTTACCGATCTGCACTCGCATCCAGGACATGTATGCAAGGGTCATCTGTGTGACAGTATGTACGAACGGCCCACTTCACCGTTGCGTCAGCCAAGCAGTCCACTGCCCGATACAATAACGGTGACGCCGTGTGCTGCACGCGGAAAGGGCTCAAGACGACGCATATCCTCCTCTTCTCCTCGCGAGCCTCTTCAGGTTCTAACTAGTATGGAGAATGTTCCACATGCCAAAGGTAGGTCAGTTACCATCAAAAGTCCTGCTGCAACGCAGCGCCAGAAACCCCACCGTCAGACCGTGCGCTTGGCATCGATGGACGCCAGCGAGCCTGGAGAGTGTGCACAGCAGTAAAGAGTAGTATTCCGTTACGGTGGCAGCACCGATACAGACTACCGCCGCTTCTACTGCTGCTTCTTACTATAGGTAGTACTTAGAGTAAGTAGGGCAGCCACAACCAGCCCAATGCTCATGTCTGCCAGCTCTGGTATCTTCTGCTCTGATCTATCTCAGTGATTTTGACTCTGCTGCTTTATTTGGGTTTTCATATTAGCTGTTGTCGCTTGTGTCTGTTTATTTGCTTTGCTGTAGTTGTTATAACTGGAACAGCTGGGCATGAATTTTTATTTCATCCACAAGCTGTTCCCTCAATGTAAATATTATAACGACTGTCACAGCTGTTTTCCTCTTTGCTCCCATTTCATCCGTTATTATTGCTAACAATAAAGTATGCAGAAAATGAAGAACTTTATCTTGCCACAAACCACCCCTTATTGCCCCTCCACAAATGCTGAATTTGAAGGATATTTGTCTCGCCCACTTCATTTCCATTCGATGCTGATTTTTCTTTCTTGTCACGACTGAAGTATGCAACTCTATACACATATGTTTCAAGCTTGAAACTGCTCTCTCTATCTCTCCCTCCCTCCCTCTCTCTCTCTCTCTCTCTCTCTCTCTCTCTCTCTCTCTCTCTCTCTCTCTCTCTCTCTCTCTCTCTCTCTCTCTCTCTCTCTCTTCCCTCTCTCTCTTCCTCTTTCTCTCAATTCTAACGGCTGAGTCTCACACTAACCTGCCCGTCCGTTCACCATTTCTTAGCGATAACGTCGGAGTGCTGGCTTCCTCTGTACCAGCCAGGATTGTGTCTGAAATTATGAACGTGTGTGTACGTCTGGCATGTCTAGTATATGAGTGCACTTGTACATGTATGTTCAGCTTGTGTGCTATGATGATCAGAGGAGTACATGTATACAGCGTGGGTAACTCCATATAGAGGGTTGCCGAGTGGAAGGTGGGACGGGCTCCTTGTGTACTCCGGATGGCAGTCATGAGTCAGTCAAGTGTCAAATTTGGCAGGAAGCATGCGTTCCACGTAGGAGCAGAAATTGCAACACTGAAGTTGCAGATCGAACTATCTCGGCTCCGATGATTCACCGAAAATCAGACTAATGAATCAGTCGTTTTCGGAACTGTTTCCGGGTTGCACACTTTGGCTTATCGGTATGTACTCTAATGATGTTTCACTCATGTTGCTGTGCCCTCTGATTGACCTGCTCATGTGTATGGCAGTGCATTGAATTTCTGTCATACCCAAACATCAAAGAGTAGATGAGATAAGCCTCTTGTTCCATCATAAATACCATCATAATCATTGATCAAGTCAAGGGAAAGAGAAGTGCAACGCAGATCTGGAGTGCGGCCGTTCAATAGCGGACTGAAAACTACTAGTACCGTAAAGTACCGCCAGAGCGCCCCGTCTCGCGAGAGCGCCCCACCTTGATTTTACAGCCAGGGAAAGGAAAATCGTATGGCAGAGTGCAACGAAGTTTGTACGATGTGAGAACCTTAGTGTACTAAGGGCACACTTGGCAGGCTTTTGTGTGGAGCTTGTGTCCGCTCGAAGGTACGGATATCCCCGGATTGACTGCAAAATGTGGAATATGTGTACAAGGTCCGTGTCGTATGACCTACAGACAGCAGACCACCTCCACAATACGACCACGAAAGGACGAGATGGTGGGGCGCTCTGGCGGTACTTTACGGTAGTAGTAGGGTGAAAAGGGCACAAACGAAACCAATATGGACAAAACCAGAGGCAAATGGTATCAAATACGAATGCCCGCCTCAGCAACTGCCAAGGTGGAAGGTGAGTCCAACTGCACTGACCGAAGATTCCGGGATCCGCACAAACACATCACGCTGGACCGGAGTAGGGCAAAACTCAGTTTACAGCGAATCCAAGACATGACACAGCTGTAAGCTTCGCTGGTCTTGGCTGCTTGAGAAGCTATCCGCTTGTAGAGCCACTCCACGTTTTTGCCCAAACCACCGGTGGTGGAAAATATGGCCGGAACAAACGACGAATGCTGTAGGTCGCGGACACGTTGCTCGTAGCAGCGCCGCTTCTCCTTTTCGTGCTTGGTGTAGCAGGAAGCAATGGAGGTGGCGCGGTTTGAGGGGGCATGAGGATTGAAACCCCTCACGTCGATGAAGGTGCGCTCAAACCGGCCACCCCAGATGCCACTTGCCGCAACGTTGAGACGGGCCTGCTCAGTCGGAATAGCGGTGCGATACCGGAACTGCTCCCCAGTGACCGGGTGCGGGGGGGGGGGGGAGGGAGGGGTCCACGGAGATATTGTGAGGCACCCGCTTCAGCATATGGGCAGTGGGGTTACGCACCTCATTGTGCCGCATCGACGGAATCAAACCGGTGGGGCAAGACAAAGTGTGAGCGACTGAAAATGTGGCTCCACAGCTGCAAGATGATGGCAGTCGTTGTGGAAGCCAGCCGTACCGCCTGGACCGAGGCGTCAACTGTGTTCTTCACTTGCTTCTTGGCAGCACGCACATCGTGAATGGCGGTACCTAACTCCATATCTTGGACCAAAGTGGGGCTTGTCAGGGGCGCGGTGATGTCTTGAGAAGACTGGTATTGGGAAGCTTGCGACGATGGGTGAGGTAGCCCGAGACCGCCGAAGAGATACGGAAGATAAGAGCAAGGAGGCTGTGCCCCTGGGTATTCACCGGTCGTCCCAGAAGGGCAGGGATCAGCATGTTGGACACAGCATCATCAAGTGGACGCAGGTGCTCATCCATAGCTGGGATGACCATGATGACGGGGCAGAGAAAGGTCCACCATGACTTACTCTGTAGGCCATGGGTATACGCTGCATGGCACAGCTTGAGGCTGAGAGTGAGGGGGCATAGTCACTCAGCCGTAGGACCTGTGCGACCCACTCCATGACGTTCTGCTGCACGTACTGCGTGGTGAATGCGGATGACCCGAAGGCTGCACCAAGGTAGCGGCATCCATCTGCCTGGATAGAAACACCACTACCAGCGAAAATCCGGATGGCCTCGTCGGGAGTGGGGGCTTGACCACTAGGACGGACTTGGCTGGATTTGGGAAGTAACCATATTGGGAGCCCTTCTCCGTCAGCCGATCCCACCACGCTCGAACGCTCCTCAGCTTGCCACCGGATCCGGCATCATCCGCGTACTATGCCTGTACTGCTCCTTCTGTTGCAACAGCCTTCATTAGTGGGATAATGCCAATGGTATACATCGCCATGGCGATGGGGTCGCCCTGTGTGTTGCCCTCGCGTAACAAGATCTTCTCACCGCCGACGAAGAGGCTAACGGGCTGCCGGCAAGTGTTGATCACAAGTTTGGCGAGTGATGGGCAGAGGTGCTGGACGTCCAAAAGAATGGCTTCAGTGGAGGGGTCATCAACTACGTCGCACATCGCATGGATTGCCGCCTCTATGTCGCTATCTTGCCCCGCACATAGCTGGAGACTGCCAGCACTAGCAGCTTCCATGACTTCGGGGCGGATCACCTTGAGGACGAAGAGGGCCTTCCCCACTATGTGCCGCAAGACTTCCTCGATGCCAATCGGCCTGACTCTAGGGCATGTGTCGAGTGGAATCAGCCTAAACATAAAGCAGCCACCATACATGTATATCATGTTGTAAGCCTGATGGGGCCAGGAAGTGCCTGCTGTTCTCTGAGCTTGTTCTATTGTTGTTCTCTAGCATAACAGCAAGAGTACATAACCCGGGGGGGGGGGGGGGGGGGTATGTACTCTTGATAACAGTTACATTGTACATAGAGTCATAGACCCCAGAAATGAGTACCGTACTTCTGAAGTACCTTTTAATTAAAATAATAATTATGGTATTTATGGGAATACCTGTGCGTTTCGCATTTTGATTGTCAAGTATTATGGTGGTGCTAATGGACATTATAGCGTAACCAAGAGTATAACTCTTGGCGTAACTTGTAGTTCCTTGATCCTTTTTCTTCCGATAAACCTACATGTATGCATTTTGTTGTACATGTACTTATGGCCACATGAAAGTGCTTCGAAGTACGAGAACGTAATTTTCCGAACTTCTACCCATAAGTATTCCCCATACGAATAATATCATTCTTGGGTCAATGCACGCTAGAACATTCTTGGGTCAATGTACGCTAGAACAAAGAAAACAGCACCGTAGCTCTTCTGTAAAAGTATTTTCATTTCGAAAGTGGTTCCACGGCACTTGAGCGGGATTCTAACCCTGCACCCCTGTTGGGAGTGTCGGGAGTCTCGGGACAGTAGCCAAATTTAGGCTACCGGGGATCACACACATGTACCCATACCCCCGTACCCGTGGGTCCTTCTTGCTGCATTGCCTGCACGGTTGTCATTGGTTACCATGGGATTCTAATTCTAAAGCCGCAGCGCGAGAATAAGAGGGCAAGTCTTGGCAAGAGTGAAGCCTGGAAGGTTATGTCTTATTATCCTCAGCTCATGGTGTGGGAAGGAGCCAGAGAGCCCTGGTCGCACAACTGACTGATCCCAACGTCTCTACACCTGCATGCTGTACTTATCTTATTGGTTAAGTTTCCGGTTTTCTCTTCTTCTCTCTGATGAAGCCTCAAGGGCGAAAATTTGGAAATAACTACTGTACCGGTATTGAAATTGCAGTGTAAGACCGTGGTGGTGCTACTTCGAAGAACAATACTTGCATGTATGAAGGTATGTCACAGCAGACCCTACTTTTTCTTTTTCCTTTTTTTTTTTTTTACTGAAGACACAACCTACTCGTAGGAAGAGGGTCACTCTGCTCTTTTCTCCTTTCCGTTCCCTTCTTTGATAGGATTTTTACCGTTACTGTATTGGTGTCACTGAATGTTACAATGCACAATGCACATCTGAAATACATGATGACACCATAGCACAAGGCGGAGGACACGCTGTATGGAAACGTGACGGTGCTCCTGATTGCAACCAGAGATTGGTTTTAGCAGAGTCCCGGTCTTGCGACAACGTGAGCCGTACGGGTTTAACTTCTAAGTTACTGTGTCGCAAGCCACCCACTTCCTGTAAATTGGAAGTGGTGATGATGTTGCCTTTGTTTTCCGGAAGAGCTTACCAATGCCCTTAGAGCTTACTGATACCCGTAGAGCTTACTAATGCCCTTAGCGCTTCGACTCCAGGTTCAGGGAAAGGGAGGGGAGCTCAGAGAAGCTACTGCTAAGAACAAGCTCCCAAGGATAAGGAGGATTATTCGCTTGCTCATCATCTTGAACATGGGTTATGACGAGAGTACATATCCTCTTGGCAATGACTGTCCTGTTCGCAACGCTCAGCAGCTCAGCTGGACAATCTCATTCTAGATATAAGCGCAGCGACGCAATAAAGCTACCTCAAAGCTACGCAAGCCGCAGTGCAAGCTGATCATTGAGAAAGTGCTTCGAGAATTCGATGGAACGAAGCAGAAAACGTGTTTGCATTGTGCACCGAAGAGCCGCCCGCGGGTATTGTGTGCCATTCAGTGTGTGGATGCCGCCATCATCACGCACGGTGTGGGTAGCCTGGTGTAGACTGTAGTCACTGTGTCTGTGCTGTGTGGCACTGACGACCTAGCCTGTATTCTATGTCAGTGTGTCAGTGTGTGGCATAGGGTAATGATGAAAGTTACCAGTCGGTGGCTCTGTGGGCATCGGCCATATCGGGGATAGTGACTGTGAAACTACGCGTCAATCACACTCAGTTATCAAGCAAACATAAACTGAAACTTAGCAGCGGTATCCGCAGACATTGCATGCCTTGTGACCATACTCACTTCTCCTGTCCCAGTCTGCTGGCTGTGAGTGCGCAGTGTAGGCACTGCAGCAGCTGAAGTGTTGAAGGACCCAACTCATTGTACAGTAACTGGTTGGGCGGCCGAGTCAGAGCTCTTAAAGATCCAATCTTCCATTCCCCCTATTCCCTCCCCAGCCTTGAGACCCAAACAAGTCAGACGTGACCGATTGCTGAGAAAGTGAAGTGTAATACACGATGAGCACTCCTAGACTGATAACAGCTTTATTAGACGCGGCCTGGCACACGTGCAGCATGTACTGATACGGAGGGCCAAAAACCTGGACTCATGGTATACAAGTCTTGAACACATAATACCGGTACTCGATCGATCATGTTTGGTCATCCTACAGTAACACTCTACTGTAGCAGAAGTTGGTGCCATGTGCAGTGTGGCCATCAGGCCCCTGTGGGTGAGACTTGCACGGAAGTATAACGGATATGGTATCAGCAGAACTACTATACAACAATACATACACAGTCAAAGTAGTATAACATGCGCACATGATGTACAATGTACATACTAGTATTGTACATGTCCTTACACAGTTACAGGTTAAATAGCAATTCCTGTGTTCCCACACTGGCCACAGTGCTCAATGCCACAATAGGCAGAGTTACATGTCAGGCGTACAGGTTATGGTGATGGTACTAGGACGTCCAGCTGCAGGTACATCATAGGCCACTCGTGTAGTTAGCATTTATGTCAGGAGGAATTCCTTCCTGTCTTCAGCTGCGCACTCAATCAGGACATGCTTACTTCGCCCTATCACCCACATACATATACACATGAATGGATACACACACCAAGGGCAAGCAAGGCTCAAAGCTGATGGCAGATCTGATCTTACTACAGAACTAGTGTGGTAGAGATTGCGAGTGTATGGATTGGTGCGATGATGTCTTGCCCTCCTTCCTTCACTTCAGTATGCTCTACTTGTAACATCTGGCTCACGGACGGGACCAACAGCCCCCCCCCCCCCCCACACACACACACGCATAGCTCTATAGGACTGGCTAGCAGGCAATGATCATGTATACAACGTAGACCGACTGATCGAGTCTCAACACCTAGCACGAGATGGTTAAGGTCTAGACGATGGTGAGTGACGCAAAGTAGTCTCTTCAAGATTTGCCATACTATCAGTATCGGAGCATCTGTGCAGTGTGTACCTGTATTATGTAAGCATGTTATGCTGTAGGTGTGCTGTAGGTGCTGACAAGCATGTTATGCTGTAGCCAGTGTAGGTGCTGACAAAGTAAAAATCATGTAGCCTGTGTGACGACTGACCAAACGTACATAGATTCTGAGCATTGTGCAGCAGGGCACTTTCACTGGAAACTGTACAGGAAGCCAGGAGCACTCAACATCCTCCGATTGACTGGATACACACGGTCGGCCACAGAGAGACACCCAGTGAGTCATGTCGTACTAGCGCCAGCACATGCAGCTACATAATCATCATGCCTCACTCGAAAAAGCAGGTGTCTCGGCCTATCCTGGGAGCCAGCATCATCATGTACGCTATCACTTGTACACAGTGCTCCGCCCAGTGTGCTGATAATGACATTATGTTAGGAGACCAGCATCAGAATCAGATTCTTCAGTCTGCTTAGCCACTCCTGCCACATCTGGCACTGGCTACAAGTACACGTGCAACCAGTGCGTTGCATAGAGGTTTTGGTGCTCTGCCATCTCACACTTCCAGCCGTGTATCATGTGTACAATAGTGTACGTCGTGTATGGACTGTGAAAGCATTGTCTGCCTCGCCCGCTCCAACCAATGGCCCATAACTAAGTTGTGAAACTCAGGTGTGATCCGCACTGGCTAAGCCCTCGTGTTGTTTGTGTCCTAAACACTACACTCACGAACTAGCGACCACCAACGGAATACTATGTATGGCAGGAGTGCACGGGAGGCCCCGAGACCACGGTGCTGTCAATCGCGCGATTTGCTCACCATCATGGCGTTTCCGCAGCAGCTCAACTTGGAGCTGATTGACACTGCCCCAGTATTCACAGCACATCTGTGCCCCGCTCTGTCCTAGAGCTAACGACCCTATTGTCAGCAGTGACCCTGGCCTTCTTGTCTTCATGGCACAGGCAAACTGGTTATCATCTGATGTGCTGAGTAAGAAGTGTCAGTCGATTGTCTGAACTAGGACGGAAGCAACGCATCAGAAGGTGGTAATATCCCTATAGTCTATACCAGCCGGACATTTCTTCACTTTTATTCACATCCGTGTATGGGACATGGTCTAAATGTCTCCCTTTCGTCAATCAGCTCCGAGTCTGAAGATGTATTTTAGCCTAGTAGCAGTGCTGGTGGTGCTAGTAGCTACTGATCAGCTTGTAGTGTGTGATGCCACTGTCGCGGATACCGCAGATACAGCTCAATGTGCAAGTGCGAGAAGACACCTTGATCTGGTGGAGGTCGACATTGCTCAGGGTAAGTGATGTCTCCTTCAGACTCCGAACTACCTGCCTATAATGTATCATTAGAAATCGCATGTCATAATACCGGTACATGCAACTTTAAAATTTTAAGGAAGGAAAGTTCTTGAACCCTAGAGCAAGACTTGGATGCCAAGCTTCATGACAGACCTTTGCCGTCCAGTGTTCTTTCCACCAGTCCCGTACATCATCCACTATACATGTACAAGCTAGTACTCGGTAGCAGGCAATGTGTGTTTAGGGATTGAGTTATCCGTCCGCTCTTTCCTCCAACTATAAATAATGAAGGGTTGTAGTATCTGTATGCCTGTAGTGCATAATTAGGCGTGTATATGCACCAAAATCTCCTTTCACGCTGTACCGACGTTACCCGACATTTCTCCGAAGCCTCGCTGTAAACGTGCCGCTGCATGGATCGCGACGAAGCCCTACACCCATTGGGCTGGTACACAGTCGACCCTCAACCATGCATCCTATAATAATTATTATTTAAAAAGATTGACTGGCTAGGGTTTATTCCTTTAACAGGCCACAGCACTATGGCATCTATTGTTCTAGAACAAAAAGCGTTTGTGAAATACACGGTGACTTTAGGTGGATGCTAATAGTTTGCAGATGTTAATAATGGAAAACGTTGCAGGCAATTGGCTGGATCAACATTGTAGTTTAGGTACGTCTGTAGGTCCTTGGAGCTGTCTCACATACGCTATGCTTTGTTAGACTCACAGTACATACTTCATTACACACAGGAAAACATATTAGGAGGGTTTGACTGGGTACTGATCGCTTGTGCCAAAGATTTCAAGTGCCCACAATATCGGCACGTGTCAAGATTCAACTTGACACAATGTCATGTTCTTTGGAACGTACACAAAGTGCAAGTACATGTATGTACAGTTGTGGGAAGGTAGGGAGAAGGAGGTCCTACCGAGATGCCCAAGACTACTATACCGATGGACCTTCCAGTTAATTTTCTTCAATTAAGTATATGGTGCAAATTGCAACGCATTGTTGCTGATACCCTTGACCCACCTGCGTAGGAGTTGATGGAGTGGTTCTGCATCGAGAGGGTTGTACCTCTCAATACCGTGACGCGTGTCTTACTGCTGTACCACTACTAGTGCGCAAGTCGAATGGCATGGCAAGCAAACGTAGACCATCTACTTGCAAGTACAGTACCCACTCCCTTTGGAGTAACGAGTCTGGCAGCCTGCTGCTCCCGTCCCAGGGAACATGAATTTCCTCTTGGCATCATGTTGTCATGATCTGTACCGGTCGCACATGATCTGTTACTGAATTCTTACTCAACTGCTCAAGAAGACTGGTTGGAATATCGCCTTATCTGACAATTGTATGCAGCTCCCGGCATCATCACTCGTCTAACACACCACAGGGTACAGCAGACAGTTATTAAAGGGCGTCTCGTGATCTATTTTAAAAACGGCCAAGGTTACCAACTAAAGGACTTTGGAAGGCTCAAACCGGGTACGCGTGGTAGGCTTCCACCCACCCAGCTCCACGGTACTCAGTGACGCCCATGCATGCATGCACTAGTCACAGTATAAGCTCACAGATCAAGGGCAAAGAGACGTCACCTTGAGGCCTTGCTCGTTACAAACACCCTACGAGTCAAGCCGGACGGAAGTAAGGGTGGCAACGGGTGACGATGTTCGAGCTTTCGAGCTCGTTCAATCAAGACCTAAACGATTGAAGCGTGACTCAACATGCAGATGAGTTTTATTTCGGTTTGTCTACCACCCGGAGCAGTCTTAAAGGTATTGTCAGTTGAGATTTCATCTCCTGGCAATCACCGTGTGAACAATTACTCACCTGTCATGCCAAGTTCATGCTCAGGCAACCTCTGCTACTTTACCAACTTATTTTCAATTAGCGGTAACACTCCTTGCTAGTAATTATAGTTATGTATTGTATCCTTTACATGTATTGTTACTATCTACACACTACATGCATTGTTACTATGATCTACACACTACATGTATTGTTACTATGATCTACACACTACATGTACATGTAGATCTACATGTAGCAATAGTATGTCACTGAAGTGCAGCCAAGCATCTATCTTTAGGACGAACAGCAAGTAAAAGCCTGGGACCGATGCCTGGGACCGATGCCTGGGACCGATGCCTGGGACCGATGCCGCTGATGGTATTCACTAGTTGAGGGAATGGAAGAGGGAAAAGTCTGAAGAAAAAAACTGATTTTCACCACCAAGACGTGAACCAGGGACCTTCGCTAGAGGCCAGCGATGCTCTAAACACTGAGCTATAGTGTAGCGGTTATCCCAGCAGAGGCCGTTCAACTCGATCTCAGACTTGGAAACTCAAGCTTCCTGTGAAACTACACAGGCTAGTGACACCCCTCCGATGCCGGTATTCGTTTGCAATAACGGGAGTTTTCTTATCAACTTACTTACTGATCCACTGCCCTGTACTAGTATACTATAGATAACTGAAGCTCCAGTCTATTATAAACATCCTGCTAGAGCCAGAGAGGGCGCCTGTCACACGACCAGGACTCCGGAGGAACAATGGTCTCACGGCCTCACATGAATCCGACGATAACAAAAACCGTAGCAATGGTCTCACGGCCTCACATGAATCCGACGATAACAAAAACCGTTCGTTGTCACAGTCAGTATTGAAAATGGGAAAGAGAGAGACTACAGGACATAGTGAGCAGATCCGCAACTACATGTAGAAGAGGACACACAAGTTAACAGTATCTTCTGTGGAGCGGTTGAGGGCTAAAATTAGCATAAGGAGGCTGACCAAGGAATAATGATGGAGGAGGAAGTGAGCAAGAGGCTATCGGTATAGCCGTATGTTAGCCGCCTTCAGAAATGTGTATGTGTGACTTCTATACGCTTGGATGGCTGACGAGCCCCCAGGTTTCGTACTTGTTGCATGTACATGTAGTATGTAGTGGCGCTGGAGCGTGGCAGCCATGTGTAGGAATGCCTGTCGGTTCAAGAGGAGTTAGGCCCTTGACAATTTATGATAATCGGCCATTTTCCCTGGGTCCGACTACGGTAAATAGCAAAGATATCGAAAGTGAGCTAAGTCTGACTCTGGGTGTCCAAGACCCGTGTAATATCTATTGCCTTGTGTCAGTGTAGTGGATTCGTGGTAAGCACTGACCACGCCATGCGTAGCAGCTACTTCTGAAGTACATTAGACATGTACATGATTGTATGGCACTATGCCATGGACTTGTGCAACTCACTCTATGCTGCACATTCTCCCGATGTTTCCCTTGGCTGTGCCCAGTGTATGTACATGTACATGTATGATCAGTTGAGGCTTCAGCCTCTAACTCTAACACTCAAGACTGACAAGAGTCAGACGAGTATTGGACACGGCTCATGTAGTTAGTTACAAGTAAATGCCAGTAGCGCTTCTCAGCATAGCACTGTATAGCACTACATCTCCTTAACTAAAATCTTCCTGAAACTGTGAAAGGATGCAGTCGACCCTCCTTCTTCCAGGACAGACCACAAACTGCAAACGCATTCAGCAACACCATGTAACATGACGTGTAGATCTACCATGGTCACACTACACTGTCTACAGAGCCCTGATTGGCCTGAACAAGCAGGTAGATCTGCTCGTTATTATGTTAGCGGCATATCTACATGTCTATGACCATGATGACTGTAACTAGTGTAAGTCGGTAGTCGTAGGAATCAGTAATCATCATGACATGCCCGCGATGCCTAAAATCAGCTAATGCCCGTCGAGGTCTCTAACTACACGATTATGCATGATAATAATAATAATTATGGTGTAGATCACTTTCATGGCGGCGCGATGTATCGAAAGTACAGTAACTGTTGCTGGACGATGTTCATAGGACTGGCGTATTTCTGTACTGACGGTGTATTCCTGATTGATTGTAGACGGTACATATAATTATCGCTTTTGACATAGACTGGTTGTGCAACATGTTAACAGTTAGTAGGATGCGTCCGCAGGCGGTTGGCGGTAACCGCTGTTCGGCACTGAGCCATCCTGTTTTTGATGTTTTGCAGGACAAGACCAACAACAGCGTGACCAGTACCGTGTGAAGATTCCTAGCAGAATATGCCTGGATGGAGGAGGTGAAGTCGCCAGCAAGTGCTGTTCAGGCACAGACGCAGCAAGGTTGTTCACCAGAGCAAAGCAGTTTGTTCGCGAGTCACTGAAACAACAGGTTTCTGGACTTGTGCGCAGCACAAAGATCTTATCCAGAAGCTTGGACGGTAGGTTGCCATGTTGCCATGTTGTCATGTTGTCATGTTGCCATGTTGCCATGAGCTTTGCTGCAGCAGGTGATCATGGTGATGCACACTGCATGGTAGATCTGCACGTACATAATTATGTAGATCTACTGTGAAGCGACAAACTCTCGCGGCGCGCAAATTAAGCGTTTTCATAAATTGGGCTGGTTCACGATGAGAAACTTTCGCGATTCGATCTCTTCAGCTGGATCTTGTACTGTCTATAATCAATGTACAGAGAGGTTTGCGGCGATTTATATTCGCGAATGTGTGATGGTCGCGAAAATAGCGAAATTTAATCTCTAGCGAAAGTTTCTCACTTTACAGTACCATGCAGTGTGCCTCGTGCCTAGTATTAGAAATACAGGATAAAACGGTCCGGGTAAAGAGGTGGGCAACGGCTTGGAACTGGTCTTTCATCCAGTAGATCTACCGGGTACCCTAACTAAAGTCAACCCGAAGACCAAAGAAAAGTATGGATATACATGTACAGGAGAATTAATGTAAGAGTGTCCCTTAACCTTTGGCCAGGGGGTCCCTTGCCCAATTTCCGGTGCCTACGATGTGGAGTTCTATTGGATTCATTGAAGGCGGTAGAGTATATCGCTGACAGCCTCCGAACATTGGAAGATACGAAACAAAGTGTGTTTCCAGTGTGTCAGCAGTGCTGCTAAATGACCATCGTGAGTCAGCTGCATGTGTAACGCTAAAGTCAGCAAACTCCCTAGGCCCTGGTTCGTGCAGTGCTGCACTGATGTAGCTGATGGTGTTAGCAGCTTGTATACATGAGCCAATATTTACTCATAGTCAGGAGGGCGAGCAGCAGCTTTCGGCCTCTTCATAGTCCAAACTCCCTCACCGTGCACATGCACTCTCCGGCAGACCAGATCATTAACCACACCAGCCAGCATCAGTAAAACTCCGAGTTGTTGCACACACATGATGCGGCATAAATCCCCTGCCCCCCCCCCCCCATACAGCTATTTTGATGGTACAGATTTCACCAGTGAAGATTGTAAGATACTGAGCCTAGATTTTTGATTGAGTGCGATCTGCTGTATATATATGTTCTCGTACTACTCGAAGAAAAGAAGGATGTTTCGTCCAAACAAAGGCAAACTTAGTTCATGTTCTAGGTAAACACATGGCATTTCAAAAGTATTCTTATCCGTTTGATATGCTGCAGATGCTGTTTGCCACAAGCTGCACAATAGCCACCAGCACGCATTTCACCTGCTCACCAAAGTATTTGGCCGTGGCTTCAGACGCAATGCTGACGTGTTCAATGAGTTCTATTGCTGGCTGAAGCAGACCTATGATGACTGTACTGGGTGTGAACAGGCAGTGGAGCGTGAGGTCCTGCAGTACTTCAAAGTCTTCCAGCTGCTTATTGTCAAGGAGCACCAGAACATATTGTCACTCAACCGGGAATTCACGGACTGTACTAGGAAACACGCTGATTTCACCTGGTTTCAAGAACTCAATGTCACATTCCATCATATGCTGAGCAGTGTGAAAAGGGCTGTCTGCAATACTTGTATAGTAAAGAACGGTCTGAAGTCAGCTAGGCACCTAATCCATGAGATCCAACAGATGGAGCCACCTCGGCAGTGTGTGGAGCAGGTGGCCTGCATGCAGAGCTGTGTGTGCTGCAGTGGCGGCGGCGGAAACGCATCGGAGTGCACGACAATGCTGCCATGTCGTTCATGTTGTCACAAGGTAATGTCAGCATGTACTGAGCATCTGACGGACGTACAGACAACGATGGGCGATCTCTCCAGCAAGTTGAAAAAGTGGATATCTTTCATGCAAGGCAGTAACTCACCAGATCATCACTTTGAACGCATTGGCAGTCTTCTGGCAGACTTCACCCACTACAGCAGCATTGGCGAGCAAGGTCTACAAGACCAGGTAAGAGATGGCATTTTCAGCGCGTCCATTTGTCATTTAGTCAATTGCAATGAGCATATGGGGTGAAGCGTGTTTCCACCCAAACATTGCCATTTTCATCTGGGTGAATTGCTTTTCTGCTGTAACATCACCGCACATTGTAGCCCCCCCCCCCCCGTTCCGTCCTTTGCTACACACACCGCGAGTTCTCCAATTCTGCCTCATTTTCGCCTAGGAGAGCATCATCAGGGAACCTAACATCAAAGATAGACAATAACATTTCTCCCCCCGCCTTCTATGGACTCTTAAGTCTTAGCTGTGAAGTGTGAACATCTGACTTTTAGAAGACACTTCATGGATATAATTTGGGCACGGTCCATCATCAGGGGGAATACTAAGGATAATATCCTTAGAGTCCAGTATATTATACATGACTCTACTGATAAACAATCGGGGAAACATCACCTCCCAAAATCCATCAATGCAACCTAGCACAACCAGCCATGCAACCTCGCACGACCAGCCATGCAAGAATATATCTCAATTTAATAGTATTGAATTTATTGAATATTGAACAATTTCTTCCCCGATGATTCGTATCAAAATACTACAGTGAGCCGGTTGCATTGATGCATCGTCGGCCAATGATCTTGACCTTGTTCTACTAATACTATATGGGGCGGGGTTTAGGTGGCAAGTGATTTGAATTATTATGAAATATGAATACACGATGCCATGAACACCGCCCCGAGTAAACACTCTCCTACAGATCACAGCAATTCCTCTTCGCCGCGGTCTTGGTATCTTTCCTTGTATATGCACACAGATTGAAGAGCATTGTGGATCCTTCTTGCAAGCTGCGAAGAGCACTGGTGCATCCCGGAACCGTCCGTTCACCTGCTTGACTTGCCGCTCGGTGCGCCCGGCTGAGCCAATTCACAGATCCCTGAGAAAGATTGTGATCGATTTCCCCCGTGCTATTACAGCCACGGAGCACATGCAGCATAGATCCTGTATTCACCACTCCGCCAAGCGCAGTGAGCCATGCCGTGAGTGCCCAACATGCCACAAAGAAGTGAGGTAAGTACGATTTGTACTGCATGATACTGATAGTCGGCGTCCCCATGATTCTAGCCTATATTTTGGTTGAATGTAATCAGCTCTTTTGTGGACATCTTGGCCAGAAAGCAGCTAGATCACTTAACACACTGTTGCAGACTACTCCTTTATGATAACTATAACAATAGCCTGATCCCAGGAAGCTCTAGTATTGCCTAGTCAACGGCCGCATTCTTTAGGTCTGGCCCATTTTACGTTAATATTATGGTTTTAAAAGTGAACTGCAGTACACGGATCACCAGTGACTGTAACGTTTGGATTCAGTTGGCTGCGTGATGATCAGTGCTGGAGCAGTCAGAGCAGAGGGCAGGTGACTAAGCCGACCGGAGAGTTGGACTACATACACAGTGAATAACACAGGATTATAACTTCATCAGGCGCCGGCTAACTATAACCTTAAAACAGTGCAACTGTACAAGTGAACAAGTGAGAAATGGGGACATGAGTGGGGGACATCGGTGCAACAAATAGGGGAAGGGAGAAAGGGGGGGGGGGTCAACAGCTGTGAAGCCGCGGCTACCAATGGAGCTGTTGCACATCAATGCATCTACCACATGACTGTACGGGGGCAGCCGTGTTGGTTCAAACTCCAGTAAGTCCCTGCATCGATGGGACACACAATGTTAGCCATGTTGGTTCCGCTGCCCACGTGCCATGTACTTTTTCGGCACAAGATAATGCAGTCACATGCCGAAGATGTGAAACCACTGTGCATAACAGTTACTAGATGTGAAACCACTGCATAACAGTTACTAGTTGTGTGTTCAATGCCATCATTCATTTTGCCCCTTTATCTCATACTATCTCATGCAGGAAGTTTGATGGGAACAACCTCGGCACTGTTGGTGTAGACATGCGCCGAGTACTGGTTCAGCAGTTGCGACCAATGATTGTGTTCCAGAACAGCAATCCGGAACTCTACGCGGTTCGCAATAATCAGCGGCTGGCCAGGATGCCCGCTACAGATGCTGGTGTGGCCGGCATAGATGCGGCACCGCAATCTCGTGACACCTTAGCCTACGGTTGTGACGATGAAGATGAAGACTGCAATGCATCCAGTGGCAGTGGCAGTGGCAACAATGAAGTAAGCACAGATCGTGAAGTAAGGACAGATCGTAGCGAACCACCATCTACGTCACTTGTCGTGTCCGATATCAACACACTAAAAGCCGTGGACAGCAGGAAAGTTGCAGTGGCACCAGCAGCTCATTCGGCTACTGTATCTGTTTTCTCAATCGTGAGCAATGGGTTGCTTGCTCTATCACTGAGCTTAGCATGTCTAAGCCAAAAGTTGGATTGACCCAACTGGATGCACCAGCCATAATGAACAACAGCACTTCGTTCCACTATAGTATTGAGCAGTCCGGCCCACTGGGCCGTTGCAATGTTTGTAAAAATAATGAAAGCAGAAAGAATTTTATTTATTGATCACAGTCATTTCTACTATGACATAATTATTATTGTACCAACAGCAGTATGCGTGTATAAATACACAGGTACCACAGGCTGTATGGTCTCCTGCGTGCTATAGCTAACTGAACTGAAAGCGTTCATAAATGCACAATGCAATGCTGGAAGTTCAGTTCTGCTGTTTTGCTTTGACTCTTGAAGAAGAGCCTTGAGAGCGTTGAGTAAATTGTAACATTTTGTCTAAGCCAGTTTTGAGCAGTACGAATAATTGTATTAACCGCGCATTTGATTTGACGAAATTGATAACTTTCCCCGTTTTCAACCCCCTCAACCTTATAAACTTGTTATAATTTTTCAGCTTTGACATCGATTGACTATTACCTTGCATAAGTTGATTTTATTCTGGAAAAGAGCAAACAACACGTTTTGAGCAAAAAATCAAGATCTAGAATCTAGCTCTGCTTTCAATACCACATAAATGGTGATACTGCACGAAGCACACAACAAGCATGCATACACGCATGCACACGTGCAAGGACGCAGACACACATCGTCATTACATGCACTCAAGCTCTTCGCTGTTTCAATTCCAGGGTGTGGCATGATGAAAATACAGATAGGATAATGTCCACGCTTTGCAAGTGAATGCTATAGAATACAATGACATGTGTATAGAACTAGAAAGTGCACCACATGTATTGTCATGATTCAATGCAAAACTAGAGAAATACTCAAAGGGGGGGGGGGGATTGATCCAGAAAAGAGTCGAAGAACAGTAGACTTATCATGACAATTACTAAAACGATGACATTGACATCTAAAATGATGACATTGACGTGGTCAAACATACAAACACACCGGTGAACATCCACACGCACCAAACAGTGTGTAAGACAGCACTTCCGTCACCCTTCAATTGCACACACTACAGAATAAGAAGTTGGATATCAAATTTAGTCGAGCACAATCTATCCAGGCCGCTGCTGCAGCAGATGTCAGAACATTCAACAATAACTAGAGTGGAACGCAGCACCACAACGCATTTTTACAGCTAGGAAAGGACACAAGAGACTCGCAGGTACCAGTCTTGTGAAATAACTTAGCAACACTGACATTAAAACTTTGAAAAGTTTCAATAAAACCAAACATGTCAAGGTAAGACATACATACGGAAAAGAACAACACAAGACCTGTTGGAATGTCTGCTGCACAAGCAGATGTAAAGGTTTGCCCCTAGGAATGCCATGAATTATTTTATCAAACGGACAGAAAACGCGAGCAGCATGATGCAGACCAACAACGCAAGACGGGAGAGCTCAGGCAAGCCCTTGTAACAGAAAATGACGATCGACGCAGACACAGATTGAAATTGAACTATCTATACTAGTCTTTACTAGACAGAATTGAACTCCTACCATTCCTAGGTACACAATACCTACAAGTAGGTAATAAAAGAGGCAAGACAATAGATGAAGCCGTTAGTAGTTTAAACATGCATGTAGCACAGTACTGGGCTTCCGTCTCCACAGACACTTACAGCAGGTGCTGGTGGCGTTGTAATGCTCAGTAACAATGAACACCCACTCATACAAAGTTGCCCGGAAGAAACCCAAACCCTGGAAACCGTGGCCTCTGAACTACTAGGCTGGAGCGCAGAGCCGAATCACTGTGAGCGAATGATGTCAGAGCATACGCCCCAGCCCTTACACTCCTGGGCGCTCCTGAGCGTCACAGATGTATGCACCCGGGGAAAACCAAACAATTCACACGACTTATAGGAGAACCTATAGCATCAAGAAGAATGCATCTCCGAAAAGCAGCTTTCAGTTGGTTGGCGCATCCTCATCCGAGGATGAATTTGCTTCGTCTTCAACTTTGGTTGTTTCAGTAGGTGACACTGAGTCTGGCTCAGGCGATTCTTTTTCTGCTTCCACCTGCTGTGGCTCAGCAGCCACTTCCTCTTTCACCTCTACTGGCTGCTCACGCTTTACATGCTGGCTTGCAAACAAACGCCCGTCTCTTTCCACCTTCTGCAGACGACTGGCGCCATCCTTCGCTCTCCCCCTGGCTGACTTATTTGCGCTTGTACTGCTGGTCAGCTGACCAACCTGACGTCGTAATGAGTAGCAGTCAGTCTGCACAACGAGTCAAACACACACACACACACACACACACACACACACACGCACGCACGCACACACACACACACACACAACAGGGTCGGTTAAATAATAGTATATACATTCAGCTGCAGTAGGAAAACCGAAGCAAACTAGTAGAAAGAAAGTGCAATAAAGACGGACAGCACAGGCACAATGCAGATATGTGTATGGGGATATACATGAAGACATGACAAATTGACAATTGGAGGAGAGAGAGAGAGAGAGAGAGAGAGAGAGAGAGAGAGAGAGAGAGAGAGAGAGAGAGAGAGAGAGAGAGAGAGAGGAGAGATAGAGAGAAAGATAGATAGATAGATAGAGAGATAGATAGATAGAGATAGAGAGATAGAGAGAGGGAGAGATAGAGAGAGGGAGAGATAGAGAGAAAGATAGATAGATAGATAGAGAGAGATAGATAGAGATAGAGAGAAAGATATAGAGAGAGATAGATATAGATAGAGATAGGTAGAGATAGATGGAGAGAGAGAGATAGATAGATAGAGAGAGAGGATGTAAGCAGAAGCCTACCTGGGTCGTCTCTAGCTGCTTCTGTAGCTGCATTATTTTCGTGCGTAAACTCTTCTCAGTGTCGCGTACTTCAGCTTTGAACTCAGTTGCCTAAAGACGAAAGAACACAAACATGCACAATGGATTAATATTATTCAGTTCTCCAAAACGTTCTCCTCAAAGAGGGTATAGTCGGATGTTTACCGATCGGTTATGTGTGATTACAGATCATGTGGTCCAGTGCATCACACGGTAAATTTTATCCATGGCTAACACCACAATATCCCCCTCCTCTCCACATACGCACACAGAAACTGATCATGTGAGCACACAATACATGTACAGGTGTTACCTTCTTATCTTTCTCGAGAAGCTGCTGGTCACGTTCCTTCACCTGCTTCTGGAGCGAGGCAACCTGCAACAAGACCAAGCCCCAAACTTGCACGTCAGAAAGGATTCAAGATTATACCTGCAGAAAAACCTAGTCCAACGCAAACAAGTAACAGCTGCACAAAACTACAGAGATACATTTTGAGACAAAGGACAAATATTGTAATGCACATAAAAGGATCGGACAGTGGAAACCTGCTCTTTATACCAGTGTATCACACCACTTTCCACTTCTGAACTAGAAAGGAAAATACAATGTACCTGTACACCACATCCTAGGCAGAATTGATACACCGCATGTTGAGCAAAATGTTACTGTTGATTGGAAATACGGACCGCACCACTGTAACTACATGTACATGTACTATGTGTGTAACTAGGAAGTGCACATCATGGTCATCCGCAAGTTTGTTGTTGTTGTTGTTGTACGGCTGGCCATAGTGACAACCAGGGAGTCGTAGCATATACGGAGACAACACTGGCGACTGTAACGCTAAATCATGTGGATTTCGACTAGTACTAGTTTCGACCCCGGACTGCCCGTTACAGTCACCCTTGGGTCAGCGCCAATTTATACAGGCTCCCACATGGCATCGCTTGTCTTGGCTGCGCTTGGGGTCAGCAGATCAATGCCGCGATCGCAATCATGAATTCCATAGACCATGGATCACGTAGAACTTCCCAATCCGGGGTCAAAACACACATCGTTTCGAGTACTATGATCTTGTGTTGTCTCCCTGTATGCTGCGACTCCCTGGTGACAACTACAGGCATATCCACGCAGAGTATCAATTGCATTCACAAGCACTCACCTTTTCAGTTAGATTGTTCACCATCTCAAAACTGCTCATAGGATCATCCACAAGCCTTCAACAGCACACACAAGTGCATGCATTGCAGATAACACACACACACACACATGCACACACACACACACACACACACACACATACACACACACACACACACACACACACACACACACACACACACACACACACACACACACACACAGAAAGAAATCGATCAACAATGTGAGGTAAGCTAGAGATGGTCTGGAATTTGCGAAGATCTACACTTCTTTGGCCAGGGGCCACTTGGCAATAGATCTACTGGAACCCTTCACTCCTGCCTAAGGGGGATTTCGAACACAGGGTCCTTTGACTCTATCTGGATTTCCTTCCCTTCCGTAAATGAAATGAACAGTGAGGATAATGTGTGCCATAATCAAGCCACCAGACTTCTTCTTCTTGTCTGAATCTCTATTTAAAAAATCTTATAGTTTATTCCAGTGAGCGAGCTTTTCACTTACTGTGTGAATGCCATAGGTGCTCTACTGGTGTCCAAACCACCTCGTGTGGAAATAGTGCCAGCACTACTGGCTTGTCCCGATGTCATCGGAACACCGCCGCTGAACAGGGAAGACGGAGCCACGCTGGCTACGGGCGACGGCAATGCACCAGAGCCATTCGAAGAAAACTTTCTCTTCTTCGGTGGCGGGACAAGGGTGTTGCTGCTGGATGCCAGTAACGGACTATCGGCAAGTTTGTGAGCCGGCTCAACGGATGCCACAGATGCCGTGATGGTGGTAGTACCTGATGCCACTTGAACCGTCCTGCAGCAATAGAAAGCAACAAATGAAGTTCGTAGGTGACATGTTCAACATGCACCTTCTGTGGAGTCGTTCTTGTTCAATGACAACACACGTCGGGTATCACTTGGGGCATTCGCAATGCTCAAAAGGACCTCTTGGCTGTCAGCACTGTAAGTTGACACATTTGTCCGCATGTCACCTGCCACACCAATTGTCCAGAGGATTGAGCACAGAGAAGACATGTGGAATTTCACACAATCATGCTTCAAAGAGAGAGAGAGAGAGAGAGAGAGAGAGAGAGAGAGAGAGAGAGAGAGAGAGAGAGAGAGAGAGAGAGAGAGAGAGAGAGAGAGAGAGAGAGCTAAGGCCAGGTACAATCATAGTTGATCGCTGTGCAGCGTGGGGCCGCTGTACAGTGGGGCCGCTGTACAAGCCAACAATCAACATGAGTGAGCACGTCTGTTGTCACAACGGCATTCAGCAGCGACAAAGAGAGAGAGAGAGAGAGAGAGAGAGAGAGAGAGAGAGAGAGAGAGAGAGCGCATCAGCAGTCTTACGTGACAATAGGCACGCCACTTGGCTCGGTGCGGTAACCCTGTCCATCTGGCTTGCGCTTCACACTGCGGTGTTGGGCTTTCTTGTAAGCCACAGTGCATACAAAACACAGCACCTGATCTCCCACCTAAAAGCACACATATCCAGACCGCGCAATGCACAGTCATGTTCAATAGTAAGTGCCTTGCCTATTGGATAGGCATCATGTATGACAGTTCAGGTGGCTACGTGGAGGATACACTATCGAGGATAGTGTTGTGCTGTGTGTCCTATGTTTGCCACCTGCACTTTATCAGTGATGTCAACAAGACACGTTGTACTGTCATTGAATTGTGTTTGTTGTTCTCTCTATAGGTTCCATTTTTCAGTATTTTCAGTACTACACACATCCAACCTGAAATAAGATTCTACTTCAGTATCTAAATTTATTCCCATCCGATTCCACCAGAAGTTCACGCAGGAATCGAAATTAGATGCCACCGACACATGAAAGTCCACATCACGATCATGCTTGTGAGAATGTGTGAACAGCCCCAAGCGAAAGCTGCTCGTTTTTCTGGACCGTAAGCAACTTAAGGCTAAAGTCATAACAAAATTCACTGGCCGTCTCATTTTGTCATGGGTAGGGGAAAGGTGGATAGACACAACACTAGCAGAGGGCACTGTGTCATGCCTTAGGGCTGTTATCTTTTTGCAAGTGTATTTTTGTGCGGGACTGGTATCGCTGCCACCTAATACAATTACATGTAGATATTACAAGTGACAGTCGTCATGTAAACCAAAAAGGCCAAAGCGAGGATGTTATGCTGATGATGGCTCAGCTGCTGGCTGAGTAGCATCGCTATCTCTGAACTGGGACAATATCAGCAAACTTGATCCTGGATGCAGATATTTCTGTAATCCAAGGATAACGCTCCTTCAACGTGCACTTCATAATGATAAATTGGCGGGACAGCCAGATCATTTCAAGGTTTCGCCTTCCACCTCATGGTAACAAACAATGTGTGAGAACGACTGGGCTGCGTCTTGTTCTGCTCTATCCAGCGAATACTTCAAGTACAAATGGTAGATTGGTAAAGAGACCGAAGGGCGGTGAAGCTTTTGTATATTGCACAACGCACATCAAAACGTATAGAGAAGTATCTTTATAGCTATGCACGAAGCTGCTTGTACCTTCTGCCGGGATTCCCTAGACTTGGGAAATGCGCATTTCACTTGACATTGCTGACATGATATCGGATCACCGTATTTCTTCTGGGAAGCTTGGCACCTTAACACAGATAACACAGAACAAAAGGCAATAGAATTCGCTACAATGCTCCGCTGCGTAGACTGTTTTTTTAAAAGAGATACCACAGAGCAGTCTACACATCCCTACATGAATCACTCTAAGCACACCTAAACTACACCCCTGCATGTCTATGTACAGAACACTCAAAGTAAGGCTAGCAGGATGATGGTGGCCATGCGGTGAATGCATGCAATCTTACCTATGACATAGGTCTCCCTTGAATGCTGCTAGCAGGTTGCAGTAGCCACACACTCTCGGCTAGCAAAAAAAGGCAAAAAGAAGATTGAAGGATTTCTCCGAACAAATTCAACACCATTGACTTAGTTCAAACTCTCTCTCTCTCTCTCTCTCTCTCTCTCTCTCTCTCTCTCTCTCTCTCTCTCTCTCTCTCTCTCTCTCTCTCTCTCTCTCTCTCTCTCTCTCTCTCTCTCTCTGTCTGTCTGTCTGTCTGTCTGTCTGTCTGTCTGTCTGCGTGCGTATCTCTCTCTCAACACCACTTCAGTAGTGATGAAATAAACAGCGATATTCTTGGAGTACTGCAATAGTTGGATGCTTCGGAAGTAGGTACGTGGAGTGTATGTATGATGATGATTGAGGAACATTCAAAAGAAGCAGGATCAAAGAAAACTTCAAATAGTATTTCGCATGCCAGGCTGTAAGAAGATACCTTGCCAAATCGCTGCAGGTACTCTGTGCATTTATTGCACACTGGGTCCTTGTCACCAATGGGAGATCTATACACATTGCAGCAAACGCACACATAGAAACACAAATACAGCACAATGTTTCGCACCGAAACAGTATTCAAAGCCAAACAAAGCACTGCATTGGCAGGACATCTAGCAAAACAAGATCAAAATAATACCCATTGTTTACATGAACTGTCGAAGCTCAAACAATACCAACCTCCTGGTGATTGGCAAACACTTACTTTTCCATGTAATGGAAGTCAGACCGGCAAAACTTGCACGTCAGCACTGGGTATTTACTTCTGCAAGGCTGCCAGAGGATATACACACACCCGCACACCAAGGTCAGTGAATTAGTACAATTGTGTGGTGTACCGCCTATCAGCAAGGAAATAGAGTTCTAGGTGTTTGATTGGCATGGCTGCATTAGCAAAGAAAAGCACCGCCACATTGCTTATGCCAGTGTACTGTTGACAGTTGTACTGCGTACTGTGCTCTGCCCACCCCGGCGGCATTGAGCACTCCAACTCGGCCAAGCACACCTGGTGCATCCTCTGTGTTGGTAATACTGGTTGCCACGTGACACAGGCCGAATAGGTGCATGTACATGTACATAAACGTCTTTGTAGGCATTCCCTTCATGCACTGTACATATTAGGTGTAGTAGTTTCTTCCCCAGTGCACTCATTTGGCTAGCCTCGGTTACTTCATGCCATAAATCCACCTCGTTTCCAGTTAATCTTGAACTGCAATATTGACTGGTGTAATCAAGAGAATGCAGCGAAGAGGCCATGCACTGAGACATCATTGAGTTATCAACTTTTTCAAGGTAATAAATAGGCAACGTCCTAAAGAAACTAGAATTCCGCAAAATACCAGAACGTGTTACCTTGCATAGCTGCTGAGAGGATGACAGCTCCTCAAAACTTTTCACCTGCTTTCTACACTTCAGGCACGCATACACAGCCTTACTCATATCTGCCAGACTCGTTCAAATAAACAGCAAAATGTACTTGAAGAGGGCGAGATGGCAATGTCGACTTGCTGACTAGCTATTGTCAGTTTTTGGAGATAAAACTACTTCTAAACAGAACACACAACTGACCACACAGTGTAGGCGGATCGATCATCCACATTCCCTTTCAACTTCTCAGTTTAAACGCTGTACCATTTCATCGTCTTTGTTTCTTTTTCTGCACTGTTTGTTTGACTTTGAGTTTTCGAGTTGAAGAAGATCGTTTTCGTCTTTCTTTTGTTGGCTGTGCACATGTGATGTCATTCCAAGCATTTTTTAATTCTTATCTACACGTGGTTACAGTTGTCAGGCGAAAAGCGCGTCATAGTAGCGTCGCAACGCGTTAACGGTACGGCGGCGCGTTCTTTGAAATGAAAGACCAAGCGACAGGAGAGAGTAGCTTTTGCAAGTACTGATAATGGAGTTGGATGAATTTTTAGTTGAGTATCCTTTGCCAGCGACGCTCACTGAGGCAAACAGTTCCGCAGGCTGACAGTAACTACATTGTATTCGCTTTGTAGAGCTATGTTATAGTTGTAACTGGAAAGCTTGGAAGCTCACTAGTCTAAAGTCTAATTTTGAAATTATTTCGCGAAACACCGACATTTTGCAAATAATTCACTGATTCAGTGATTGTGGTGCTGCAGACACTGCAGTACTCGTACATGTATAATAACTTCAAAGGGGCTGTCAGATATTCTCATTACTAGTCGTCTTGGCAGATGGTTGCAACCTGAGCAGCAAGCTGTCCATGCAGATAATCCACACCTTAGCCAGCTGTAGCCATGTCTGTTTTCTCATACCACTCCACTCCTCCCAGCGAGGCTGAAAAGCAGCTGCTCGTCAGAATGAGGGTAAGAGAATCGGATACTAGTACTCCATGTATACAGTATATATCGTGCCATTCGGAATCCATTGCCATAATTGCAGATGCACGATTCTCCAGTTCGGTCCTAGCGAGCCCTGCGTGGCTTATCTGCTTCGAACACAACACGCATGCGCTTGCGGTGGCATTTCTAGGCTTATTACCGCCGAATTCACCGGTATATTTCAGAAATCTGGAAAGTCTTGCTAACACTACTGTAATGAGGTACATGTAATGAAGATGCAGAATCTGCATGTGCTAGGGACAATGGCTTTTCAAGGGCAATCGAAGCACATGCGTTCGTCAGTGGTAGCGCCGCACAACAAACGGAGTAGCGAGTCCATGACTTCACGCAATGGACTTTGTGAATAACCCCGTTCTCAAGCAATGATCAATGCAGGAGGTCTACTACAGTCCAGTCATAAAAAAGATGGTATCCTGGCTTTTGCCCATAAATGGGTCAAAATTCAGCAGCTGAGTTTTTCGCCATTTATTTCAATCCCCATGGAATGCTCTTCCAATTATGTTTCTGAAGTCTATTTCTCCAAAGAGCAAGTCATAACAAGAATAGAATTTCAGCCAGGTTTTGCCCCAAAAGTATTGAATTGGGAAAAAGCATGAAAATCCTGGCCGTTTCACCCCACTTGCAACAGTACACTGTGCGGCTCGAACTCTAGTCGAGGTACACATGTACCTTTTTGGACCCTTTCTCAGATTTCAAATTTCGCGGCACTGCACCGTATACGGTAAAGTCAAGAAAAATTGCCAAAAACGGAAGCTCGCCAGAGCCAGCGCTCTTCTTTTTATGAATGTACTAGTGTGAGACCCATTGTCATCGGGAAGCCCAGCTTTTACTAATGTACGCATTCCTGGCACTGAGGCAGATAGGCCCGCAGAAGGGTCCGTGAAGCTATAAAATCCGGGACATGAAGCCCAAGATCAACAACATTGCGAGGTGGGACCTCCTGTGATGAGATATTGGTGTTCTCCACTGCCTTTTATATCTAGCGCTGGGCTGCTATCTAGCGCTGGGCTGCAGCTGGCTCGCGCAGTTATGTACTGTATGATACACACTACGATCCGAGTTGTAGGCATCCTTAGGCTGGCAGGGTTAGATTGCTGTTTGACACAGCAAAGGCATGATGTGCCTTTCAAACTCCCTCTACTGATCGACATGTGAGGTACATGTATGAGGAGGCATCTTCCATGCTTGCAAGCTTTATACAGTAATGCATAATAGCTGGAGTCAACAACTGCTTTAGGGGCTATCCGTAATTATCGAACGTTTTTCACCAAACGAATTGTTTTAGTTTAGACCTTCCCCCTCCCTCCCCCTCAGAACTTAAAAAATGTTGACATGCATGCGCATAATACAACAAAAGTTGCAAGTGTGTAACTGTTCCTATGACCATGTCCATGTATCAATGTTTTCTGATACGAAATTAGTCAACCCTCTCCCACCCGATAACGAAATATTTCGTTTTTTGAAAAAAGTTCGATATTTATGGACGGCCCCTTAATTTGTTAGCACTGACCACTAACCATCAGCAAGTGCGTTTCCTGTACACTAGCACCTTTGCATATGTCATGATCTTGTTGCAGGCCAAAGATGAGAGTATCCTTTCCCTCCAGACAGAAAATGCAGCGCTGCGTCTCAAGTTGGCTGAGGTGAGTTCCTTATGCATGTAGACGCCTTGGTTGCATGCCTGCTGTAGTATCGTGCTGTGTGTATGATTGTTCATATCAGTTCCGTTAAAAGCTGTCTCAGAAATACGTTGAGGTAAACGTATCCAGGGCAGTTGATATTTAGCAGTTACAGTGTCTCAAATACTTCGAGTATACGAATTAAAGGGGAAGTTAAGGCAAAAATCAAAATTTCACCAGTTGTAGTCTTCGGGGTGCTGAGTCGAATGGTCGTGGTCCGAGGAAGCTGAGATGCTCCCTTCCTACTTTAATCCCAATCGAACTTGCGCACTTCCACCGAAACTGGGTGACTGCGCCCTACGAGATGGGGTACAGGGTACAACTTACTAGCCTGTTTGACCTTTTTTTGGGTGCACTCCTGTCACTCGAGTTGAACTCGAGTTGAACCTTGGTGTGAAAGTTGTCGCCTGCTGGCGTGGTAACCAGGTGATTTGGGCACCCAGGAGCACGTGACCGCTTGTTCAACCATGTTCGATTGGGAATAAAGGAGGAACGCTGCATCGCAGGCTTTTCGGACCAAAACCAGTCGACGCAGCGTCCAAAAGACTACAACATATGGGCCAATCGCGGTCATCCGTGCTTTTATAAGAGCGAAATGGCGCTTTTAGTGACATTTTGCATACAAATCCCCATCTAGTAGGGCGCAGTCACCCAGTTTCGGTGGAAGTGCGCGAGTTCGATTGGGATTCAAGTAGGAAGGGAGCGTCTCAGCTTTCTCGAACCAAGACCATTCGACTCAGCACCCCGAAGACTACAACTGGTGAAATTTTGATTTTTGCCTTAACTTCCCCTTTAATTTTTGAGGGAATTCAAAAGGAAGAAAAAGAGAGTCTGAAGAAACATGTACTGTAGCAATCAGAACTCCATCAATTTTGAAGTAGACAGTTTGGATGGCACCGTAATTCTTCCCAACGTGATTTGTTTTGTATTTTTCTGGCAAAGCTCCGGGCGTTGGTGAACACAACTCGACTGCAGAAAGACTATATGCGGCGGCAGTTCATGCATGCTCACTCCGCGATGAGCAGTACCCGGAAAAAGCTGAACCTCTGCCAAAGCACAATACAGGTATGTACATGTACATGCACTGTGTAAGTTAGCAGTATGCTGCGTAGCGTGACTACGTATTGGCAAGAGTACATAACCCCCCAAGAGTGTGCAACTCCCGCATACCCTGTTGTCCTGGCAGAATTTCAAGTTGACGTCATTTTTATGATGCAATGCTCCTTGCACCAGTGATTTAACAACATTTGTACGGGGTGTCAGGCAGGCATAGTGTGATGGTCTAAGATCATGTTTGAGAAACAGAGGGTACCAGGTTCAAGTCCTGCTTGGAAGCGGAAGGATTTTTTCCAGCCGTGCTGCGACCCACAGTTAATTGGGAACTCGTGACCTGGCACGAGGAAAATATGGATGCAGTGAATGGGATTTTCGGTCTTTGACCACTTGCTGGTGAGCTGATCTACTCACCTCCCACCACTTTAGGAGCTGCATCTGCGCCTTGATCCTTGAAGGGTGATGGCGTTCCTACGGATGCGGAACGGCTTCCAGCCGAGTCTCACGCGAACCGTGAATTTTTATTTTTTTTGTACGGGGTGTCAATACATCGCACGTTTTCTTTGAACTACAGTCAACTTCGCTTATAGCGACACCCGGCGGGGCATCAGAAAAGTGTCCTTATTCGCGAATAGTCGTTATACCCGAAGTCTCATTATAATATGTTTTACAGTTTGATGGTACTTTGCTCTGGGCATGAACATTCTGTCGTTATTCGCGAATTGTCGTTATATCCGCAGTCGTTATTAGCGAAGTTGACTGCAGTCACTTTGTCCACCACAGGTTCAGGATACGTCTGATAATACGTGTGCAGTGCGCATCACATCGCAACAATGATGCCAACTTGAAATTCTGTCGTGACAGCACCCATAGTGGAGTTGCACACTCTGGGGGGGGGGGGTGTACTCTTGGTATTGGATACAGGCATGTACATGCACTGTGTAAGTTAGCAGTATGCGTAGCGTGACTACGCATTGGTATCAAGAGACAAGAGTATGTTGTACATAGAGCAGAGTGTGCAGGTCCGCACGAGGTTGGAAAGTGTGATTCGTCATTTTTGATGAGCCGCGATTCAAGATCGCAGTCTTCTGCTACTGTAGAGGCAGAAAATTTCGTCGGTCAATAATTTCGTCCAACTCCAAAGAAAAGCAGTTCGTCCGGTTGAAAATTTCGTCCATGGATCATAAGAGTGTATAGAAAAGCTGGACAAATAGACATTAGTCCTACATTTAATTTAGTCCAAAAGTTCCTTGGACGAAAAAGACGAAATTAAATTCCAGACGAATATTTCTGCTTATACAGTAGTTGACATTAGCAACGTATTACTGGCTAGAGTCGGATGAAGTCATGTGCCGCCATGGCTTAGGGGTTAAAGCGCCTGTCTAGTAAACAGGAGATCCCCGGTTCGAATCCGGGTGGTGGCTGGTCGCTGATGATGAGAGTGCCGAGTCTCTTGATGGTTTGTGTCCATCACCACCCAGTTGTCTGGGATAAGACGGCTCTCCGAGGCTTCTCTTTTTACTTTCGTGTGTTCTCGTTCAAGTAGTGTTTACTGCATTGGATCTCGTTGTTGTGTGTGTGCACAACTCTTATACATTTGTTGTTGCCTTCAAAGTCTTCTTTTTCTTGAGTATACTCCCCCCCCCCCCCCCCCACCGCCTTTCTGAATCATGTCGTAAACACCTTCTCTCCGGGGTGTATATGAGGCATTCACGACTTCAGTGTGGCATCGATATCAGACCAAACTCGGTAGAAGCTGCTCAGGGGAAGTTATCATCTTTATCTTGATTCATTGGTGGTTGGATGAGGGTGGCTGTATTGAGCTCTCTCCATTAATTTTGATTGGGGATGTTGTTTAGTCGGGCTCGCTCGTTCGCAGACTGTTAGACAACGACTACATATAGGTGGGTACAGATCCATCACACTCAAGAACGCCTTGCTGCCATAGTAGAATATGTCAATGGCAACCGTGTGCCAGGGCCGTGGTGGTAGTTTTCTGTGCTGCAGACAAAGATAGTCTCTTGTACAGTGAACTGGTTGTACGTGATGCAAGCTTCGAAAACACGAACAGGTTTGAGCTGAGATGTTCCTACTGGACGTAATGGGCAGGGCGATGAAGATAGCTGATACTCACTCGGTACGTGTGACCGAGGCAGGACTGTCACCATGCTGGCCGAATCCACGCGCATGGCTCTTTGGTGCTTGCCATCTAGCACTACTGATCGTAGTGGAAGCACAAATCCGGTTTTGCCGGACCAGATGCTGAAACATTCCGCATCGTCATCGTCACTGTCATCCGTTTCTGCAAATTTCGGTGAAGACGCCTGCCTTCTGGACGATGGCTTTGCTGCTGGTCAGGAATCATTTGCCATGGCCAGGCTGGCAATCATCCCTGGCTTCGTGCTCATGTACTGGCTTTTCGGCTTGGGTTTCGCTGCGCCTGAACGGCAGACTGGCCCAAAATGTCCTTTCGGTCCACACTGGTTGCACACAGCGTCGGCCGCCAGACAGTGCCGCTTTCCCGGTGGGTGCGTCGCCCCGCTTACCCACAAGCGGTGTTACTGGTATATGGAAGGCTGGGTCGGTCTTGTGCTTGGGGAGCAACGTAGCTGACTTCGACTTGCTAGGCCGGCGTCTCGCAGGCCAATACAACGACTTGAGCTCGCTTGGCTGCAGCCGTCAGGTCCTTGCCTCCCTCTTGCAACACACTCTTCCGGGCCGCTTTGACAGACAGGCCACGGGCAAACAAATGCACGGCGACTGTGCCGAGCACATCTTTTATGTCTGCTCCTGGAGTGAGATTGCACACTCTCATCTCTTTCTCGATTCGGACCCAAAACGCCTGAATCGATTCCCCAGACGTCTGCTCACAGCTCAGCAAGCCTGGCATCCGTGCTGTGCTGGCTTCCGAAATACTCATTGAAGAGCCCGATCAGTTCCGCGACCGGGTTGTCTCCCTCAGGGATCGTGGGGGAATTTCTGCCACAAATAGTAGCTGGCATTTTCTCCCAGGTTCGCCGCTGCGGCCAGGTACTGCTTCTTATTGTTTGTCACCTCGCGGAGCTGGAAGCCGATGTCTAGTGGACTTCTCCACGTCTGGTAATGGTCATGGCCGAGTTCGTGATTTAAGTCCAGCTTGACAGAGACGCGGACTTTTGATGCCATTGTTGTCGCCGTCGTCAGTCAGGTTTTCGGAACGAGTGCCAAATCCTGTTCACTGCGCCAATGTTGGGTCGGGCTCACTCATTTGCAGACTATTAGACAACAACTACTGGTAGATGAGTTCTGAGTCACTGATCTCTTACTTAGACTATCGTGATCTCAGACAATACTATAAGACAAAAGCAAAAGGGAAAATCACTCGAAAAACAACGTCTGCCATTCCAATTCTAGAGAGGTTCTGCTGTACGTGAAACGTAGAGAAATCACGCAGGGAGCAGGTGTCTGGGCTAGAGTCTACGGCTTCGCGTGTTTCGGGTGCAGATTTCTACGTGTAGATGAGGTTCTCTACGTTGTGGCACACGCAAAGAAAATGCGTACGAATCTGCTGGGTATCGTGCAAATGCTGGGAGAAAACTGCCAAATATGGAAGGGAAATTCCCAGTACACATTCCACGTGATTTCTCTACGTGAGCGTAGAGCAGAACAGATTTTCTTTGCGTTACGGGAACGCGAAGAGAGTTCCCGGGATTCTCGGCGTCGCATTCCCGTCACATAGAGCAGAACCTCACTTCTCTCTCTCCAGAACCCTACAGCACCAACTCCCTACTCACTCAAAGTCGGGAAAAACCTGCGCAAAGCAATAAACACGTGACACACAGATATCGTGCGACAGTAAAACACAGCTAACAGTGCACTATCGGGTAGTGGCGACGATACAAAGTCAGATGCATGATAACTGATATCATTCAGATCAGTAGCAGTTCAGTTAGTTGAGGTCAAACCTCTACAGATGTGAGTTGGGAACTTGTGGCCAGACAGAATGAATACATGGCTGATGGGGCATTGGCATTTTTGCCAGCGGTTTTGAGACTTATATCCTGACCCCCACTGTTAGGTGCTGCATCTACCGATGGTTTATTTGTGAATTCCCTAGATTCCAAACTGAGACGAAAATTGACTTTTGTTAGGTCGAAGAAAGAGAGATGTGGTAGTGTGTTTCTTGATGTTGTAAACATTCAGTTGAAAATCAATTCAATTGAGACCTAGTGGAAAACAAATAGCAGATCCTGCAGGTATGATGCAAGAACTCGTCACCCATTTTGCCAAGATATTATGGAGGTTTTGCGCTACGTAATTACGGTAGTAAAAATCTACGGAAAGTCTTACGTGCACTTTGTAGCGCGGAACCTCTCTCTTTGGAATGTATTACTAGCTAGAGTGAGATGAATTCATGTGCCGCCATGGCTTAGGGGTTAAAGCGCCTGTCTAGTAAACAGGAGATCCCCGGTTCGAATCCGGGTGGTGGCTGGTCGCTGATGATGAGAGTGCCGAGTCTCTTGATGGTTTGTGTCCATCACCACCCAGTTGTCTGGGATAAAATGGCTCTCCGAGGCTTCTTTTTTTTACTTTCTTTTTCCTGTACATGTACTGTAAATATACAAAATTTCGGCGCTGCAAAATTTCGGCACTTCACGATTTTTGACATTTCGGCGTGGGGTAGAGGGCATGGTATAGTGCGACAGATGCTGTGAAAAATTTCATCTGCGTTTTAATTTAGGCTTTGGGTCGGTGCCGAATATAGCCGAAATTAAATAGCTGCCGAAAATTTGTATATTTGCAGTAGTTGTTTTGTGCTGTTGTTGTTGTCGTCGTTGGCAGTTTTGCCTGTGGTTTTGAGACTTCTACTGACCCCCACTGTCAAGATATTGGGAATGTATTACTAGCTAGAGTGAGATGAATTCATATGCCGCCATGGCTTAGGGGTTAAAGCGCCTGTCTAGTAAACAGGAGATCCCCGGTTCGAATCCGGGTGGTGGCTGGTCGCTGATGATGAGAGTGCCGAGTTTCTT